GGGGGTGGACAGACACGAACTTGTGGACAGACTCAACCAATCGTCAAAGGATTCAACAGCCCGCGCCAAAGTGGAATCGGGAATAAGACTTTCCAGCCCATGTTTAGTCCTGCAAATCAGCAAATCGTCCCGGCTTCAGCCCCAACCGGTGCTTCGGGTCTGTCCGACTTGGCTTTTGGGGGCACCACTTGACAAGCTTTTTTGACCATATCTCCGAGATCGCAGCTCCGAGCACTTTTGAGCTCGTACGACCGAGCCCTGTTAGTCGCAGTCATGTTTCTTAATCATGTCTGACATTATCTTACAATGGCGGTTGCAATTAGTTTAGATTTTAGAATAGAGTGGCAAGGTCTCCGCCATGTGTGAAAGTCGCTTGCAAGAATTCGACATGTTCTAGCTAATTCTGGTTTTCAGAGGCTCATTTCTCACTTTTCTTCAGAGCGACGGTGCAATGGTATTCCGCAGTGACCTCACATGGTCTCATTGGAACCGGGCGGAACGCGTCTTGAATGAGATAGAGAGCCTCGGGTTTACTTTTGTGGATCACCTTTTGCTCTGTGAAGGCAACGATTACATATCTACCAGCGGAACAAAACTGGGCCATCAGGGATTCCTAAACAGTGACCCACGAAAAGATCGTTCAAAGACCGACTAAATCCCCAAGTTGAACCAATTGCAATAGAAAACTGGCACACGTGTACAGGAGAATATTTCGATGTCTGTAGTTACTGTGAAGTCGGGAACTACGTTGGCGGAGAGCGGAATGATAGAAAGGCATGCGTCTTCGTGGATACCCCGAGGCAAAGTCTGCTCGTTCATGGAGTTAACGGACTGTACGTAGAGTTTGCCATGCCAATGGCTGACATGACTACGCGGCCCATCAATCCTGCCGCCTAACGTAGGTGGCTTTCTAAGTCTAATCCACTTGGGAAACGGTGTATTGTAATTCAGTTGATGCCAGACGGACGTAACTCGGGCACACGCGGATATTCTGGGTCAGAAGATATGTCGTTCACTCTAGAATGAGCTCGAGAGCAGGGATGAAGACTAGGTAAGGAGTAACGGAACCGTGGAGACTTGCAGCTTAGTAGCCGTGGGCTCTCCTCTCGTCATCTCATGCTATGACTATACTGGTCCGACCTCGAATCGATGTCTCTTTTGAGATTGCTCGGGCTGTTATACGGACCCTTTCATGAGCCCCTCAGCCCCATACCTACTCCCAGTGAAGGCGTGTAAGGATCAAGGGGTGAGAAGTGCGATTCCAGTGGAGTTGCCCAAGCCAATACCAGTATAGATGGATTTGCTGACAATCGTAGGGGTGTGATGAAAGAAACGGACTCTACAGGGGACTCTGGTTACCAAGTGCTTGGGAAGCATGTAAAGCTCTGTAATGAATGCTAGAAGGCTAGCTAACGCATAGTCCCGGCAAACCATCCGCCTTGGCTTGCGGGGAGACGTCTGGAAGTAGTGACCAGGTGCCCGACTGTGGACACTGATCGCCCATATTGTCGCCGACCTATTCGCACATAGCACACAGTATATCTTTGTCATGGTTTACATAGTAGGCAAAGAAACCCCAAGAAAGTGCCGGTAGTCTGAGTTAAGCGTGGCTTGCTAGGTTCAAAGTGGCCTGGTATCTATCGCCGAGTTGGCGGCTCGGAAGGCCGAGGGACTGCACCTACAGCCTACGCCACGTTCTGGTCTTCCCGTTGAGAGAGTCCCACTCGGGGGGAAACCCGCGCCACCCAGGCCAGGTGCGTCTGATATAAAGCAATGTCTCTGCGTGTCCGTGGAACCACATTACTTCGGCGTCGCAGAGTCTTCTGATGCTAGTAGAGGTTGGGTGAATATCCCCTTGAAGTTACTTTTTCTGTATTTCTGCAACCCTCCTCACTAGACCCGCCCAGTCACGCTGCAGTCTTCCTATCTTGTCACGCTTGTGGACTGCTACTATCCGAAGGATGGTGCGCCGTTGGGCCTAGGGAGAGACTAGTTGATCTGAACCTATACCTCATGCAGGCGTAGCTGTATTTCTCACCGACTATGGAGTAAGGTGATGAGAAAACATTTCATACCATAGCCCTGTACGATGGCTCGCGTGTTAATGGGGCAACACGGAGCGGGGTCCATTTGCTTAGTTGGTCCACGAAGAGTATTGAAGTATTTCGTACGTGCTTCAAGTAAACTACTGGGGGTTAAATGAGTGGCACATTCAAGGAGACGATGTAGATGCAGACGGAGTGAACAATCGTGCCTAATACAGGAGTGGATTCGCCGCATGGTTTAATGCTGTAGGTTTGAACTGAAAATCATTCAAAGTTCGAAGCTAGTGAGAAAACAAAGTTGATGACTATTCAAATTGTCAGTCGAAAAACCAGGTGCCTGAACCAAAGATCCTAGGATATCGGTATCAAGACTGCAGCCTAGATAATATGTGCTCCTTCCCCAACAGAATCGTCCCCTCCACGAGAGCCGGCGACACAAAGATCTTCAAACTGAACAAAGACCAAGCCTGCCAGCTCATCTTACTCCTTCAGGGCGCTTGTAGTGGTTGACATGTCCTTCCTCGGCTCGTTGACTGAGTATTCGGTAGGCGTAGATGTTCCAGGCATGTCCGCAGTGGACACGACCTTGCCAGCAGCCTTTGGCTTCATGAGAGGCCAGTGACCATGGACCTCGTGGAATCTCAGAAGCACAAGCCAAGAGATGACAAAGATCCAGTAAACGTTGTACGAGATGACAGAGCCGTAGGTAGCAGAGTTGTTCCAGCCGAAGATGGCATTCAGAAGGCCCCAGCCACCGCCGCCATTCAATTGGGGGCTGCAGCACTGCGAAAAGTCAATTTCATGATCACATTTTCTCGTTTAATGGCGATTTCGAGTACTCACGTTGACGTGCCAAACGCTTCTATCGATGTCGTAGGATCCAGGGCCCGCGCCAACCTCTGCCGCGTCACCGCCAACAGCTGTGTTCCATTCCTGCGCTTCGAAAAACCACACGGCGCGAGAAAAGAGACCAGCAGCAACGATGTAAAGCAAGCAAGTAGAGGCGACCAGGAAGATCTGAATCTTTGAAGTAGATCCACTCCTAGAATTATGGTGTTAGGAAGCGGAAGGGAGGGATTTAGGATGTTGATATTCCTTACTTGTAGAGGAGGTAGCTAGCAAAAACGCCAACGATCAAGCCAACAACGACCGGCAGCGGAACTGCAGTTGCAGGTGCTGCGAAAGTGACACCGAAGATAAAAACGATCATCTCAATTCCCTCTCGGAGAATGGTGATGAGAGGCAGGAAGAACATGACGTACTTCTCCTGGTTCCGCTTGAATCGAGAGCCGAAAGTTGAGGACGCTGTCTTTGCTTGGGGCTCCATGGCCTTAGCAAGTTTCGCGCGCCATTTGTCTTGCAGCTTGCCAACTCGAAGGAGAGCAACTCCCATGAGTGTGATGATGATGGATGCGAAAAGCGCAAATGAGCCTTCGTAGTAGTATTCGTGCGCTTGCCAGCTGTCTCGACCGACTCCGTAGAAGACCCCGATGATGGCAGCCGCGACTACAACGCAGAGCGTGAGGCCGAGGGCAGTTCCCATCCAAACCTGCGTGACGTGACGAGTTAGAACAACGCGACAAAGTCCTCGAGTAGATGAAAGCTAGGCAAAGACATTACCTGTTTACGAAGAGCTTTGTAGACAGTAACATCGCGTCCAGGACCCCCGAGGGTCTGCTTTAAGAAAGCAAGAAGGACAGAGACAATGATGCCCGTCTCGAGGGACTCGCGAAAAACGACGAGGAAGACGGGGACCGAAAACACGTTGACGGCCATCTTGCTTGTGATGTAGTAGTATGAACCTATGTGTAGGACGACGTCTAGTTCGGAGCGAAGGTGGGAGTACTCTTCGCCGGGATCGATGAGGCGATGAAAGACTTTATCAATCTGGCTTGCTGATCGAAGGGAAGTAGTTGTGCTTATCGGATCGAGGAGTATGGTGCTTCTCTAGGCCGAGCTCGGAATCGGAGGGGGTATGGGTATGTCGATACGGCAGCCATCGGAGGGGCATAGAAATCCAGATGAACCCACCAATACATGGCAGGTCGATGTCGTAAAACTTTGCGGATCTTGGAGGTGTTCTGATTCTCCTCCCATCACCTCAGGGGTGGTTGATGGATCGATTAGATTGGACTACCAGGCCCGAGCTGAGGAGGAAACAGACCGAAAAGGGCGGGTATTTTTCGGCTAGTCCTATCAGGTATCTTCTCCTCAAAACACTCGCGATGATCATTGGTTCTGAACGTGAGTCGTAACTCTCGTACTACACTGTTAAAATTGCTTCCACATCCAACACGGGCAGCGGTCAAACATAATCCTGGAAGCCATGTCGTTGAATGTATCTGAACTTTACCGCTACAAGATGGATCTAGATGCATGCCCGAACCGAAGAGGGCTCCACAAACGCAGGCCGGTCGTGTGATGGTGGGGAGCGACGGGTGGAGGAGAACCGAATGGTCTCCCGGTGCTAAGCATTTCTGCCCTACCTACTAGTCTAACCCCGGTGCTTGCTGATCAGATGGATAAGATAATTGAGTGATTTTTGTACCGACATGGATTCGGTTTTACTTCCATGGAAAGTGGCGTCCCGGAAACGTTGCCTCTGAGAGACCCTGTTCGTCTGGAGTCGGCCAGCCTCCGGGAGGGAAGAAAACTCAGATGACTCCAATATGTCGCCCGATATTCCAACCAGGTCAAGTCGACAGGATCGAAGACTGATATCGGCGGCAACGGCAGCTCCTCCTATCTATTATTTTTCCCTAGAGTAGGGTACCGCCCACCTCGTTGCCTGTCTAAAATCGAGAGATAAGTTCTCCTCGTCTTCTCATCGAAGGACAGCCAGGACACCGCATTCCTCGCCAATTCCCATCACGGCTACTTCTGTCATTCGAGACAGCCCGCGAAAGACACACCAACAACCATCATCACTGGATCATACTGTGAACTGACGCCGTCATGGCCAAGATCCTGCCTCTCGCGCTCGCGTGCGTTGCGCCCCGGCTTGCTGTCGGAGCGACGGTCAACTACGACTTTACTGTCGGTTGGGTCACGGCCAATCCTGACGGTGCTTTCGACCGACCCGTCATCGGCATCAATGGAAAATGGCCCATCCCCCAGATTGAGGCCAACATTGGCGACAACATTGTCATCAATGTGCACAACGACTTGGGCAACCAGTCTACTTCGCTGCACTTTCATGGGCTGTTCATGAACGGGACCACGCACATGGATGGTCCGGCCCAAGTCTCGCAATGCCCCATCCCACCGGGCTCCTCATTCCTCTACAACTTCACAGTAGCTATTCCCACCTTACAACGTTAGAGGTCGCATTATTGCGAACTTTCGCAACGGAGTGTTTGCTAATGTCAATTTTGCGTCGGTTCAGATTACCCAGCCGGGCACATACTGGTATCACTCACACACCATGTCCCAGTACCCAGATGGACTCCGCGGCAGTCTGATCATCCATGATCCGGACAATCCTTATGCTGGGGATTACGATGAGGAGATTGTCTTGACGCTCTCAGATTGGTATCATGAGCAGATGCAGAACCTCATCCCGCCGTTCATGAGCAAGACGAACCCCACCGGTGCGGAGCCCGTGCCGAAGGCAGCGTTAATGAATGAGACGCAGAACCTCACCATCTCGATTCAACCAGGCAAGACCTACTTGATGCGTGTTATCAACATAGGTGCTTTCGCTGGTCAATATCTATGGTTTGAGGGGCATAATATGTCCATTATTGAAGTTGATGGTGTATACACTCAGCAGGCGACCGCCGAAATGATCTATCTTTCCGTCGCCCAGCGCTGCAGTTTCCTTCTCACAACCAAGAACTCCACCAACGAGAACTTCGCTATCGTCGGCAGCATGGACACGGTAAGCCTGACACTTTATCAGAAACACGGGTCTGTCCGTGAACGCAATGATCTCAGATGCTAATGTTGCATTCCCCACCCACAGACGTTGTTCGACACTCTGCCAGATGACCTTAATTGGAATGTCACAGGCTGGTTGGTATACAACGAGACTAACTCACTTCCGGAGCCGGCATTGATCGATGAGCTCAATCCTTTTGATGATATGACATTGGTACCGCACGACGAATTGGCACGTTTTGCCGAACCTGACCAGACCGTTGAGCTCAACGTCATCATGGACAACTTAGGTGACGGTGCCAACTACGCGTTCTTCAACAACATCAGCTACAAGGCACCGGTGGTTCCGACATTGTATACTGCACTAACAACTGGTGATGATGCCGAAACTGCCGAAGTCTACGGTGACTACACCCACAGCTTTGTTTTGAAGAAGGACCAAATCGTTCAAATCGTGGTCAACAACCTTGATTCCGGGCGCCATCCGTTCCATCTCCACGGGCATCACTTCCAGTCTCTCTACCGCGGTGAAGAGGAGAGCGGTACTTTCGCAGACTCGAACATGACCGAGAGCGACTTTCCCGCAGTGCCTATGCGCCGGGATACTCTCGTCCTTTGGCCCGATGGAAACATCGTCCTTCGCTTCAAGGCAGACAACCCAGGTACGTCCTTCAGATCTCATAGATATCGACACCCATACTAATCCTCTTATCTCCCAGGCGTATGGCTGTTCCATTGCCATATTGAGTGGCATGTTACCTCTGGGTTGCTGGCAACCTTTGTGGAGGCACCGCTGGAGATCCAGAAGTCGCTCACCCTCCCGCAAAACCACCTCGATGCTTGTACCGCAGGAAACGTACCTGTCTCGGGTAATGCTGCGGGCAACACCAAAGACCTGCTGGATCTCAGCGGACAAAACGCGCCTCCCGATCCGCTCCCGGCTGGGTAAGTCTCAAGTCCTTTATAGTCTAGGTTTACCTCTAATACGTTCAGGTTCACGACGAGGGGAATTGTCGCATTTGTTTTCAGCATCATCTCAGGTGTACTTGGAATCTGCGTTGTGTGTTGGTATGGTATGGCGAACCACGTCACAGATACCAACAGCGCCGCATCGACGATGTTGAATGTTCAAGAAACATCTGGCGCAGCCACGGAGGGCGAAACTAAGCGACCTGCCGGTACGACTGACAACTAGAATGACACGGAGGTTACCCGCAACGATACCTATTCTTTAACAATCCTATTTAATCTACTCTGGTATATCCAATCAATTCCCATACGCATTATCCAGGCAGCTCAGCGACCGGAGTCGTCGGCGAGTGTGACCCTTCTTTATTTGATTTCATCCCTGAGGCGCCCTTGTACCCAAAACCTGCTGGTTTGAGATGGAACCGGGACGTGCCGTCCAACTCGGTTATATCGGACTCTGGCCGCGCCGAGTTCGCCTCATATGGCTTCGCCATGCCACCTTCATGTGTATTCCCCTTTTCAGTTGTGTTCTCCCATTCTACCGCCCCCTTTTGTCGCCATTTCCTTCTGGAGTACCATATGTATATCAGAGCAGCCATCAGAACCAAGCACCCTCCCGCGATACCGACGCCAAGCCCGACCTTGGTGCTTGTCGTCATCCCCGCAGTCTCTTCCGTCGAAGAGGTCTCGGCCGAAGTGGGCTGTGGTGTCGTGCTTGATGCCGTCGTGGTGGTGGTGGGATGTTGGGCCTGAGCGGTCGTTGAGGCAGGTGAAGTTGGGGTAGGGGTTGTGTTCGGCTGTGTAAGGATCGGGACATAGCCAGGCTGCCATATGACGCTTCCTCCCAGGGCTGTCGGAAGCTGCACAACGTTTTGAAGGATCGAGGAATCGGTGAAGGCGACAGTTCGAGACGTTTGGGGGCACCAGCACGCGTCTGCTGAAGTCAAAGTCGTAGGGCTCGCCGATTGTTTGCAAGCCACCCATTCTTCCGAAGTGCCGTTGCAATAGACTAGGCCTGTCCATGGTTGATCTGAATATCAAACAATTAGTCTTCTGCTCAGTAAAAAACATCTCCCATCGTCGCGACTGTGACTCACCACTCAATGCCCCCTTGTCGGGACAGCTCGAATCTCGATAGTCTGGATCGCTACAACCTGCCAGGTACGTGATTCCGAATCGGCCGTTGTAGCAAGCATGACTGGACAAGCACATATCGCCGCCCTGACAACAGGTCTTGTACCCAAGGTCTGCATTTCCACACGGGAACCATTCTCCAACCTCATCCCCAGGCCCGTGGTAGCATGTACCGTTGCTGATATAGGGGTTTGAGCTCATGTTGCAGTTCTTGTTGTTGTTGTCGTCCTGTCCCACATTCCTCCCCCGTCAACAAGATTTCCTTCGTTGTCGTTGCAGTCCACTGGTAGGATATCGCGGATGTGCTCTTGTCGTGATGAGAAGTTTGTGAGGGGCACAGTTCGGTTCTCAGTCGCCACGGGGAAAAGGAATGGCTGGGACGGTGACGAACAATGCGGGAAGAGAATGTGGAAAAGCATTGGTAGCTATATCCCTTGCGCTCCTAGTTATGACGGCGTGGGCCATGTCTTAGGTTGGCTGGTTGGACTGTTTGCCAGGGCAGATTGCCAAGGCCTGTTGGTTGCATCTCATGCAACCGGTCTCGTGGACGAACACTTTGTGTACCATTGCCCTAAAAAAGAAAATGATCAACTTAATCCCCCTTGGAGCTGAGTCTGTCCGAAGCCGAGACTGTCACTTTTGCCGTCTATACGAGCCCTGCCAGCTTTAATGCGTTTTGGCTCTAGACTCTCAGCCTTTATCCGACCAACTGAGTTTCTCTGGAATGTAACCAATGATGCCAAACGCCGTTTTCACTAGCGGAGAATGGAATCCTCTCACTTATCAAGGGACGAACCGTTTGACGGTTTCGAGCGAACGACTCTGTTGGTTTTGCATGGTGCCACGCCCAGCTCCTGCACGCAGCTACCCACTGCATACTGCGCCTCCTCCGATAATTACAACTTCGCAGGGATTCATTGCAAATCCGTTTGCCTTCCAACTGCTCAGCTTCGGAGCAAAGTCCCGTTCTATGCGGCAGCGCAGCTGCAAGAATAAGATGCGTCGTTGCTCGACCATCTCCGCAGTTGCGGTAAGCGAGGCCAACCGGCGCGACCTACATGAGACTGACGGAGGAGATGCACAGATGCGGCCATTGACGCGGGCTGCTTTGAAGGCTCAAGGCCGAGTAAGACATTGCGATACAGTGGCGTGTTGTCCCGGGAGCAAGGGAGGCTAGCAGGGCTTGGGTTTGACGCGCCAACTCAATGCCCGTCCGGACTGATCTCGGTGTCCGCAAGGAAGAATCAGATTTGGTGTTTAGGGGTCACAAAGACCAGTAACGTGGTTGCAGGGGACAATATGCATGGTTTCCGAATTGAACCGGATGTCGGCACGCGTGAAAGGCGGTTGAATGACTGTCTCCCTTGCAAACTGAGTTCTTGTCAAACTGCTGCATGAGGGATCGCAACGTTGGGACTTATGTGAATAACTTGTGGTCTTCCTCCATTCTCTGTACGATTCATTTGACATCCAATTCCTTCAATTTTGTAACGGTCCGGGACCTGTACCGGCAAGGTGGAGACCGAATCGAGTGGGCCGCTCGGGGCCGGGGCGGCTAGGCTTCGGGACCTCGGCGATGAGACTCGAGAATCACGGAACGCTGATAAAACCACCATTGAGCGATCAAAGACTCCCTCTGTATGCTCCAATTTTATGGATATTATATACGAGATTATTTGAAGAATCATGAAGAATTATCGTCAATAGGGCCCCGATTCCATGCAGCATCGTCTCGCCGTCGATCTTATGCCACCTCGCATCTGGCATCCCGGTCAATCAATTGAATCCATCCGGCCAGTACGCCTCAAGCCACTCATATGGCTCCTCAGGCTCGTATGCGTTCTCCACTGTGCCCTCCCACTCGGTGATAGCGTCTCTCGTTTCGTTGTAAAGGGCGTACTTCTGGTCTGGGCCAGTGCCGACAGTGATTGGAACGAGTTGCATGTTGTTTGCAATCTCTTTGTCGACCATCACCTTCAAGTCTCTCAGCTGAGTGTTCTTGATGCGTATCTCGTCTCCGTAGTTGGGGTTGATCTGTTGATGAGAGAAGATTAGCCGTATGTCACCAACCCAGACATGTAACTCAAGCACTCACGATGCCCATCCTGTTGCCATTGAGCGCGATCACATTCTGAATGGTCGCGTTTCGCTTCGACTGATTCAAGCAGTTACCGCAGGATTGATAGAAAGTCTAGGGAAAAGGATCAGTGAGATGTCTTATAAAATGTAACGAAGCTTGACTTACTCCAAAACCATCGGCATAGAAACCGGTGATGTTGTACTTCCCGCCAAGAGAGTTATCTTGAAAGATCTTCGAGGAAAGTCAGCATATTCCCTCACAGGCCATGGTTGGTGAGAAGTACTGACCTTGTCAGTGGCATTGCGAGCACCGCCACCAATCACTCTAAGCTGGGTGTTCAAGCCCTTTGAGGTGAGTGCGTCTTCACAAACATCCTCCCACCAAACTGTTACACGGTCAGCTTGGCACTTTTAAAGTAGAATCCTGACCCACCATTCTCGACCCACGCATCGCCTAGTGCATGAATGCCCTCAGCCTGGTGTTTGCCAATTACAACGTTGCGAATTGTCGAGCCAGGAAGGAGGTTGAAGACCGCATCAGCATCCGTGCCCTCTGTTGTAGCGAACGGAATTAGTCAATTATTCTTTATTTAGCAAGAGTATCGTCGCTCAGGAGTCAAACATACCAGCTTGCTCATTGCAGCTGCCTTCAACGCGCTCGTAGCGCTTCATTCCTCCGTCGAACACCTGCCCAGGAAGGATGTACATGGCTTCCTTAAGAACGACAGTCTCGTTCGGAACCGGGAACTTGGTAATGGGAAACGGAAATCGCGGTGGTGGTCGTTCACCAAGGTCGCCTTGCGTCGCATCTGTGGATCCGCCTGGACCATCGCCTTGCTGGCGACGCTCGATGGCAGCAGATTGAGCCAGAGCAAGCAGAAGAGAGAAGGCGGAAGCACTAGTGACCTTCATGGTGAACTCAGTATGCAATGATTTCGGTGAAAGTTTCAGGGGATGTTGGCAGCGACAAAGAGCCTGGCACGTCTTTCTGCGATGAATTGAAGGCCTGAGAGAACATCTATCACCAATCGATGTAACTCGAGGTTTTCTGTGAGTCTCGAGCTTCTTTTATACCTCTTCCTCCTCACATTTTGGAGCTTTCAGTCCAAAGCTCCTGAAGCTCTCCAGCCTGCGTAGTCAATGGATGACATAGCTCCAAGAGCTCAGATCCAACCTCGTCATTGGTGCTACCCTACTAGATCGTCAAAATACGCCTGGGATAGGGAAGATGTAGAAAAGTATGCAACGGAGGATTGAAGCTCAAAATTCCCATGAATCACTGCTCGAGGATGGGCTTACAAGCCCCTTGGCAATGCTTGGCGTTCGTTGAGATGCACACGTTAGGGCGGTCTGGTCAACGCCAGGCCGTGTCCCAGCTGGCCGGCGCGACCCCGGACCCGCATCCAGCCCATTATCTTTGGGGAATTAAGAGAGGTGGGTATTTCCCCGGAAAAAGAAAAGCTTGGCGTCGCGGGTCGAAAGCTGGATGCGTTTTGACGAGGCTGGCGATCTTGCGGGGGAAGACAATGTTGACGGCGTTGGAGATGCGGGGCGGAGATGGATTGTGGTTCTGGCTGTGACCAGTGGATTGCTTACATCTTGAACGGAAAGCATGGCCCATTTTCTTGAGCTTTAACTGTGAGATCGAGAGTTGTCTGCTTTTAGGGATTACGTCCGAAAGCGAGTTTCTTCGTGGAAGAAGAGGGTTTCCCACGACAAGCTCATCGCGGCATTATAATGCGAAAGAATGCTCAGTCAGTAGACATGGCGTGATTTATTCCATAACAGTCGAGGTAAGCCGACGGTCATCCAGGACTAACTAGACAACTGATAAATGTCACAGGCATAAGTGTGAGAATGTGGCGCTGTGATGCGAAGTAATGGTTGCTTGCCAAGCCATGTATGCCATGTGTTCCAAGTGGCACAGATACTCGTTCCCCTCATTGCCACCACTAGAGACAACAGAACGGAACTTGCCAACGTGATGGGTTAGCCTTGGCTCGCAGTCTTCCTTGTCTTTACCACAACTTTTCAGCATCGCGAAGTCTCGCAATGGGGCACTCAAGACACTTACTGGTGAGCCCTACAAACAGGCAGTTGCCAAGATTGCCAAGGCAAAACAATTCCCTCCAATAAGGTGCGTGTAGTGTCTGCAGAAGAGGATGCCATTGAATCCAGGCCACAAGGTCGATGTAGCTTCGACGAGGGGTTACAAGTGGATATGAAGAATGAGACAGAGCAACTGCCCGCTGTTTGCGTATCTTTAAGTATCATGCAGACGATTTAGGTCAGATTATCGTTCATACAACTCTCAGCTGGATTTATTCCTTCTATCGGTATTTCCATGTAGCTTTCCCATGCGTAGTGCGGCTAAGGTAGGACACGAAGCATACAGTCACTAACACGAGAAGACGGTGCCGCGATCTATGTCACAAATTTCCCACATAGGTTTCGAATTTCTTGATCTAACTAAACTAGTGATGTGTTTCTACTGTGCAGTGCTAGGTCATGCTTTACGCACGTCAAGATGAAATCCATTTGTCATGATATGATGACAGTAGTCTTCGAAAATGGAGCGTAGGCAACTTTCCCCAACATCGGACTAGACCTCGGTGACCGTAAAGATCGTTAGGTATATATATCTGTAAGATCTAAGGTGGCATTGTATCGGCCAATTAATCGACCGACGACCCAGGCACTGCAAGCATACCCCAAACCGAGAATTAGGCTCTGAGACTAGCTCTTAGTGTCTACGACACTCCCGCGCATACTTCTTCAAAGCCCTCATTGCCAACTAGGGCCATGCAGTGACTCGTGAGTGGTTAGGATGGGATGGCAATCACATGCTGAAAACGAACGAACGCACAACCCGCATTGGAAAGTAAGTTTGTGACTAATGTACCTGAATGTTCTAATTTTGATAAAACCTGTGGAAGGTGCACCATTGACTACGTTTGCTTGTGGCAATGGCTTGCACTCCAAATCACCGGAGTCCAAACTGAATGATTCAGGACGGGCTGCGTATCTTGTTAGTTCCAGCCACCAGATATCAGCGCTTATTGAGCCGAGTCGCTTGGTTACAAAACGTCTTCACGTCATAGTAGTAGTTTGTAATGCAACACGACTGTATGTTGGCTTGCAATAGAGATTGTCCTCACTCTCTCTATCAAAATGAAGAGCTAGACCTATGCGCTTTCTCTCTTTTCAACTTCCTCGACCTTTGCCTGAGCGTGGACCCTCGCAACTCCAGCCGCAGAATCTTTTCCATCGAAGAGCATCGAAATCTCCTCCAATGTAGGACCCCTTGTCTCCACGAAGAAAAAGTAGATAACCAGACACTCAATTACCAGACTAGTTTCCACTTCGTTAGTCTCCGATAAGAATAGCAGAGTTCAGCAAAGACACTTACATGGCGATGTAGACAAAGTAAAAGTGCCACTCGAGCTGCTCAAGCCCTAGGGGATTAACCCACTGGTTGAAGACACCGCTCAACGCAGTGAAACAGAAACACAGCGTCAGGCCCTTGGCGCGGATGTTGTACGGCAAAATCTCGACGGTGTAAGAAACGGTCAGACCAGGCCATGCAGCTCCCGCGACGCCGTAAAAGACGAAGATCATGGCCACGACGGCGATACCCGCTGATGAGGACTGCGTTTGAGCGTAGACTGCGCTGCAGGCCGTCCAGATGGAGAATGAGATGAGCATACCGACGCCGGCAAAGAGGAAGAGAACTCGGCGTCCAATTCGGTCGACAAAGAAGGCGGCTGTGAGCGAGACGAGCCAGCACCAGATGGTAAGGCCGCCGTTGATGTATGATTGTGTAATGGAGCTGGCGTACGTTGTTAGAATTTCTGTCTACTACAACCACTCTAGGAAGCGGCAAACTTACTCTTTGATGCCAATAGTGCTAAGAATTACCGCGAGCTATACAATGAATATAGTTAGACCCGATCTCCTTCAACTTGTGTAGAAAGTCTCTACATGTTTACAAACCATAGCTCTGGGAGCTTCTGCGGTCTGTTTTCGGGTACGGAGAACTTACGTAGTATGACACCAAACCATTACCGCTGCACTGGCTGAAGATAGCTGTCGCGATAATGAGCCCGCAACGCTTGCGGTTTCCCGGAGTGCGGACGAGTTCCATCCAACCGCTCTGCGCCGAGGCTTCCTTCTCAAGCCGCAGAGTGCTCGTAATCTCGGCAAACTCCCAATGCGCGAATTCGTCGTTTTCGTTGTTGTTGCCGTGGTACTTGATGAGAACCTTCTTCGCCTCGGCCTCCTTGCCCTTGCTAATTAGCCATCTCGGACTCTCGGGGAGGAACCAGATGGCCATCAGCTGAATACCCGGCATCATGCACTGTAATCCTGTGGGAAGGCGCCATTGCAGATCGCCGGACTGCTTTGTGAGTGTTCCGAAGCCTGTTGTTACACCAACCGTTAGTCGAGTGTTAAGATCATCACCAGAGTTGGTTCGGGTCCAAGGAAATGAGGTGCATACAAGACCAGGCCGCAATTATACTACCCAAGTACCAAAGCGTGTTGTAAAGCGTCGTAACCTTGCCGCGATGCTGGGGGTGTGCAACCTCCGTGATGAGAAGAGGACACGTGCCGTTGGAGATGTTGGATCCCGCGCCCATGATGAAGCGGCCGATGAGGTACATTGCGTCTCTTCTGGAAGCGGATCCGACAGGGAATGACTGCAGAAGCGCACCGAAGACGACGAAGATACAGCCGATGGCGGTACCCCATTTTCGGCCGAGGCCGTCGGCGATGTAGGGCGCGAAGAGGAGGACGAAGAGACCGCCGAAGCCCGGCATGGCACCGAAGATTCCGAGTCGACTTCCCGTGGGGTGATCAAAGACTGTACGAGATTTTGTCAGCACAAATACATCGGCAATACAGATGCAGGTTGTAAGAGTTTAGAGGCGAGATCACAACAACAAATTTCGCTTACAGGTCTGCCATGATTGCATGGTCTGAAGTCCGTTCAACAAACTTCCATCGTATCCCAGTGTCGTCGAGCCGAGGAAGAGGAAGACCATCATGAAATAGAGCTTCCTCAGCTCTGTCTGCTTGTACCACGGCAGCGTCGATGCTTCGGGTGGTTGCAGATGTAAATCGTTCATAGTCGCAACGTCGACGTGGTCAACGCCGTGACTTTCCTTCTGCTTCAGATCCATGGCTTATTTGCGAGTTGGGTATAAAGTGAACAGAAAAAGCAAGACAACACTCAGCAAAGAAAATTGGAAGGGCCTGGTTGTCGCTACCGAGATGCCGGCTTGCTGCAACTCATGATTGTTCGGGTTCGGGACCGGGGCAAGTGTACTTATAATAAATCGGTAGTTGGTTCTGGGTAAATGGCATCAAGATATTGCTCGACGCCCACCAACCGTGCCGTGACCCCTTCCCGCTTTCGAACAGAACAGCCCACCCCCGAGGCGAAGACCGAGGTGCTGTATCCGATGACGGCTCGAAAGCGGCCGAGCGAACAGGCCACACAACTCGAGCTGATGGACTAATTACTCCTCTCCCTATGAGGCGTCGCTGAGGGAAAGCGGGTATCCAAGTTTTACCAGTACGAGGAATAGGAGCACAAGACACTAGATCGTCATTGGAGCGACAAGTCCCCGTGGGGGTGGATTGCGGGAATCTCAGGAAAAGACTGGACGAAGAGAAGGAAACGGGAAGTACAAGATCCAATATTATTTCTCCACAATTGGGTTCCGGGGAAGACTGTTCGCCGCCTGTTCATGTCAAGGTCTGGTCTTTGGCACATCCTGGTGTAAGGTTAGGTGGGCATGGGCATGGCGTGGTCAATTAGTTACTAGTAATCAGGGACGAGGAAGTACGTTCAAGTTCCTCCAACCCAGCGGTCCGGATGGCCAGCCCCATGAAAATGACTGAAGAATGGATAATCTGGGGGAAAAAGGTAACCCAAACCAACCAACCAAGTCACAGAATTGGACTTCGTACCCGGCGAGCGACAAGCATCGGCAGAAGAGAATCACAGTCTACTTCTGTACGGATACAAGCAAAGAGCATGAGAAGGCAGGGAACGATAGAGTTCCTGGACCGTCTGGAGCTATGCCCTTCAGAGTCTGGGCCTGACTCGATTCGTAACGCCCCAGTGCGGGGCTTTTCCCTGCAAGTTTCTCCCGAGCACATGGAGGCTAACAAGAGCAAAAGAGGAGCAGAGAGGAGCAACAGAGAAAAGTAAATCCGACGTTTCTGCGGCGCAGAGTGCCGCGCAAGAAAGTTCAAAATACACAACTCCCGACAATTCTCCTCGGATGTCCCTCTGCCCTCCCCCCCCCGACTGTCGCTTCTCTCACACTCTCTCTTCCGCATACTACTCCAAGTCTCCAACATCTGTTTTCTTTGGGTCTCTTCTGGGCAGAACAAACGCGGGAATATCGCCGGACAATCATGACCCATGCGGCCACGTTTTGACAGTGATCCATCCTCTCCGCATTCCAGCCTACCACATCATCAGCTTGGAAGCTTCATGTTACCAAAGCCACCTAAACGGGAAAAAGAGCTGAAAGCTGCTAGTTCTCCACCATTGGATCATCAGCCCCCTCCCCGGATTCTGTGAGGTGTATCCGGGGCATCGAACACACACCCGCAGCTTGCATGTTTGATGAGTGGCAGCAGCTTGTCTGATCCGATCTAATCTGGTACTTCTCATCAGTGTGAGCGGACTCGGGTCTTTCGATATGGTCTGACAAAGACTAAAGACTACCTTACTTCGTACCACGACCTACCAACCACCCAAGCCACACATCATGGAGATCGACCGAGCAACTGGGCCACCACCGGACGGAAACGGGGCTCACTCCCCACTTTCAACGTCTCCCGCCTCACCAGCCAGTGGGCGGCCGAGGGCCAAGATCATCAGGAACCAAAATGCCTGCGACGCATGTCGGGCCCGCAAAGTCAGAGTGAGCAATAAGAAAGCCTAGCCCTTGATGTCTCACGAGACTTCTACCCATGATGACTATTCAACATTGGGTATAGAGACTTTGTAAACATCCCATCACTGCATGGATGGCATTGGTCAATTCTTTGCCATGTTCCTCATTCATCCCGGAGTTCAACCATCTCAAACCCCGGACTCTGTTGAACTGACTGGATCGGCAGTGTCTCTACGGCTCGGGAGAGGGCCGATGCCAAGGCTGCACATTCCTCGACATACAATGCACACATGAACGGCCGAGGCGGAGGAGAGGACCACCAAACAAGTCCGTCCAAGCCCCGGCCCTGCACCCCATTTCATCATAGGATGCTGTCCAGCTAAGAGCTTGCATACTGACCAAACCTGACAGACACGCACAGCAACACCGGCAGCAACACGAGCAGCAAATACAACATCAGCAAGCAGTTGTTGCCGCATCGGCTGCCAGTCAGAGGAGTCCATCAGTATCAGATATCACCTCGCCAGATGTAGGACTCGCATACCAAACCTCACCAGCCGCCTCATCTTCGACCCACATTCAGACACCCCAGTCTCACTCTCACTCTCACTCTCACTCTCACTCTCACTCTCACTCTCACACAACCGCTGTGCCTCACTCAGCGACAGACTTGCGCGCCATCATCGCAGGCGCGCCGAGTCCCAACAACAACACGGGGTCTCACTCCAGCAACCGTCTCGCCCTCTTCGCCCCCGAAGACCTCGTCCAGCGTATGCTACACGACTGGTTCGAAAAAGTCCACGCCCTCGCCCCCGTCCTCCACCGGCGGCGCTTTCTGCACCGCCTCAAAGCCGGCGAGGCAAACACCGACCGCAGCTTTTGCGCCCTCGTCGTGAGCGTCTGCGCCGCGACGGTGGCGACGCTGCGGAGGGCCGATTACAGCCCCGTCACGGTCGAGCGGTGCCTGGACTTCATCGAGGAGCAGCACCTGCTCGACCATGGCCTCAGGAAGCCTGTCTACTCACTGGACTGGTGCGTCGCAATGTACAACATTGGTACGTCAGCCAGCTCGATGAATGAGGACGGGCTGGGGGACATGGGATCGTTCCATGGTATGTCCGAGGCGGCGGCGGGGGCGAGGTTCCTCGCATACTACCGCATGGCGGACCTGGATATGTCCGAGCAGCAGCTGCTGAAGAGGCTCTTTTGGCTGATCTTTGCGGCATATTGGTACGTGGACCCCATGAATGCACTTATCCCTGTCTTTGCCCCCCACACAAACACAACCTTAGAAAAGTCGAGATGAGGAACAGTCTTCGGTTGACGTTTTCCATCATCTGAACAGTAGTGCGGACATATTCGGGAGGCTGTCCGTCAGCATTGTCTCTCACCAAGAGAATCGCGCCCACCTGCGCCCTTTACCCCTGACAGATTCACAACTCGAGACGGGGCCGCAGCTATCCCACGCGGAATTACCGCCGTGGCATGGCGATACGACCTCCTATGTCCCGGGCTTGAACCAGCTAAGCGACCTCTTCCTGATATGGCATGAGGCGCAAACCGCTCCCATAAGCCTCTACGGCGGCCAGGAAGAAGCCCTCAAGCAATGGCTCGCCAAGATTCAAACAATCATTGATAACTTCCCGCCCGAACTGCGTTGGCGCGGGGGCCTGTCTCGACCATCTCACATAACAGAGGGCCACGACACACAAATCGCCAACCTCTTCATCACGAGCCTCAATATCCGCTCCAATCTCTTGCAAAAGTTCGGGTCGACCGTCAAGACGCGGGCGGTAGAACATCAGCGCATCGTGGACGACCTGCTCGAGATCCTGTACCACATGCCGCAGCACGTCCTCGAGCAGAACGGCAATAGCCTGATCCCAAAGTTGAGGGACTGCGGGGCGGCGTACATGGAGCAGATGGACGTTGGTGATGGCGCGCTGGTGAGCGAGGGCGCTAGGCTCAAGCTGGAGAAGTTGCTGCGGAAGCTGGATGATATTGACTGCTGGCCTGGCTTACCTGGGATCGAGAGTCCGCAGAGTAATAGGCAATGAAATCAAGACAAGTCAAATGACCCAATGTATGTCCTGACTGTGGACTAAGGTAGTACAACTACCTCATACCTCATACCTCATGCATGAACCGAAACGTCCCATGATGTTCCCCAGGAGATGTGATGGTGGGCGAGAACTCTCTTCGGCGGCAGCCCGAACGCAACGTTGTGACTCCACACATCCACAATCCATCCGCCGTCGTTGTGGGTTGCGGAGACTTTATTTCTGGAGACTGTGGGTTGTGAGGAGACTCAAAGCCTCAACAGATGCGAAGTATTTCCGAAGCCAACGCATGTTTGGTTCCTAGAACTCGGATCAAAAGCCTTCTTTCAACTTTCAATTTCCCCAAGTAAATGCGTCATCAGGAGTGCGGGGAAATAGTCCCATCTCTTTGATGTTTATCCACTTTGACATGGACTAAATCGTGGGACAATAGTAACAGGATAGGAACATCCGAGCTGCAAGTCGAGTTGCGAAGAATATCCGAAGCCATCTAACGGGAATCTAAATCGGCCCATCAGGCGATCTGCAAACTCCCGTCTGGCATCCCGCGGCAGTTATGGGTTCTCCTCTCCATTCAAACGTCTTGAAGCGGACGAATGGCGGACCTTTCGACTGCCGAAAGTAGATAGAGCCCACACCGAGCAGCCATAGAGCAAATCATCTTCGGATTCTCCGAGGCGGAGCTGGCGCCGGCGCCGACCTCTGTCAAAAGCAGTCCTTTGGTAGAGGAAGCTCTTCGGGATAACTTTGACTCGAATCCTTTCTGACATTATTTCAACCCGACGACGAGCGACGATAGTTTCGAGTCCGCGATCTTCAGCTCTCTACTATCTCTACCCTCTCGTCCTCCTAATCTTACCCTGTCTCTTTCACAGCTCCTTTCAAACACACACTCTCTCCGTTGCCCATCATGACAGCCTCAGAATCCCCCGCCACGCAACTCCCTCACCTTCGCCGTACCAATGGCAACACCCAGCTCTACCTCAAGGGCAAGCCCTTCCTCATGCTCTCCGCCGAGCTACACAACTCCTCCCTCTCCTCCGCCCGCTTCATGTCCGAGGTTTGGCCAGACATGAAAGCAAACCACATCAATACCCTCCTCGGCGCCGTCACATGGGAAGACATCGAGCCCACCGAGGGCAACTTCAACTTCTCCGAGCTCGACGCCGTGCTCGCTGGTGCGCGGGAACATGGCATGCACCTCGTTCTCCTCTGGTTCGGCACCTACAAGAACGGCATTTCGACATACGCTCCGCACTGGGTGAAGAAAGACACGAAGCGCTTCCCGCGCGTGCAGGTTCTCGAGAAGGGGGGCGTTAAGAGGACCATTGAAATGGTTACGCCGCTTAGCGACGAGGCCTGCGCGGCGGACTCGAAGGCGTTTGCCGCGCTATGCAAACACCTTGCCCAGGTCGACGCCGAGCACAACACGGTCCTCATGATCCAGGTCGAGAACGAGACGGGTCTGCTGGGCGACTCCCGCGACCGCTCTCGCCGTGCCGACAAGGCCTTTGCCACACCCGTACCCGAGACCCTCCTCCGTCACCTCAACGAGAAATCAGCCGAACTGCACCCCAAATTCAAGGCGCGGTTCGAAGACCCGCCCGCCGCAGGCTCACACTCGTGGACATCCGTCTTCGGCTCCGGTTCATCAGCAGACGAGGCCTTCATGGCCTACCACATCTCCTCTTACGTCGGCCGCGTCGCCGCCGCCGGAAAGAAGGAATACGATATTCCCCTCTACACAAACACCTGGCTCAACTTCGACGACCCCTCCGACCTCGACCTCCGCGGCGTCCCCATCGTCGTCGGCGGCGGCGCAGAACCGGGAGTCTACCCCTCCGGCGGACCCTGCCCGCACGTCCTCGACATCTGGCGCCACAACACAATCTTCACGCAAGAAAAGTCGCTCGACTTCCTCGCGCCGGACCTCTACTTCCACAACTACGAGGCTGTTTGTAAAGACTACACGGCGCAGGGCAACCCGCTCTTCATCCCCGAGCAGCGACGCGACGAGAACGGCGCGCGGCGGGTGTGGTTGTCCTACGGCACCTACGGCGCCCTCGGCGCGAGCCCCTTCGGCATCGACACGGGCCCGGAGGTCGTCGGGCGCGAGTTCAAGCTGCTCGCGCAGGTGGCGCCATACCTGCTGGCCGCGAAGCCCGAGGACAGGTTCGGCTTCTTCTTTGACGAGGAGATTAACACGGCGGGCAAGGGCGAGAAGTGGACAAAGGTGATTGGTGACGTCGAGGTTATTGTCGAGCGCGCGTTCGTGTTTGGCAAGCCTGGTCCTGGCGGTGGCATGGTCATCCACCTCGGCGATGCCAAGTTCCTTGCCGTGGGTAGGGGCTTCAACGTCCACTTTAAGAGCGTGCGACCGGAGGCTACGTTCACGGGCATTCTGGCCGCCACTGAGAAGGAGGTTGATGAGAAGGGAGAGCTGCAGACGCTGAGAGTGTTCAATGGTGACGAGACGCGCAGTGGCGAATTTTTGATTATGCCTAATGACGATCCGGATTATGGCGGTTTCCCCATCGCTGTTACGGTCCCGGCGCGGACGTGTATCGTTGAGATTGAGGCATACTGGGTTGCTGAGGATGAGGAGGACCGGTGAATTATTTTGTCTATTGAGACGGAGAAGAAGGCATCGACACTTGGAAACGGCATAGTAAACTAGGTTAAGGTATGATCACACGGTTACAACTGGTTAGGCCAGATACAAAAGAGGCACGATATAGAGGCATGAGAGACATTATAGACAGATTGTATATGCAATTCACGAATTCATGATATTTCTAGTCCAATCAAGTTCAGGCTGAGGTGTTGTCGATGTCAAGTCTTGGCGGGGCTTCATAATGGCTTGGTACCGGCTCCCACATCGCAAGGGCGTCAATGACAACTCTGACGTAGACGCTGACAAAACACGGAACAAACATACGCCCTTTGGAAATGTTAGTCGTGTAAACTTTGACCTTATTCACTTCATCTTGATCAATTCCACAAGTTGAATTCACTGCCAGATCTCGAGCCTTCGTATTTGAGTTCGAAACCCCGTCCTTTATCGGTCGCATCTCACTCACCTCTCACTCCACGACACTCTTCACCACGATATCCATCTGAAAACACCCAAACACCCAAACACTAACCCAACGATGGCTTCATCCTCCCCCTCCGGACCAAAGCCCACTACCTTAGCAGGAAGCTGCCTATGCGGCGACCTCCGATATGAAATCACTTTCTCAGACACCCACGACTTCTCCGCCAACGCCCAGACGTGCCAATGCACCCAGTGTCGCAAGCAATCCGGCGCCCTCTTTGTCGCCTTTCACCGCGTCCCTTGGCCCATGAAATGGACGTCTCCAAAGGGCACATCGACGCTGCGTGAGTTCAGCATCACGCCCGTGGCGAAACGAGGATTCTGTACGGAATGCGGCTCGTGGCTGTACTATCGTAGTGAGGCAGAGGAGTGGAGTAGTGTCTGTCTTGGGACGCTTGACCAGGAGGCTCTCATTGGGGATAAGAGTCGAGGAGGAGGGTATGGTGCGATACTAGCGAGTGGTCTGGGTGGGCATGAGTGGTGCGAGAATCAGATACCGGGCGTGACAGATGATATTCCCATGTTGAGGAGGGGACAGAGGAATCAGCAGAGTGGGAGTGGTGCTGTAGCCATAAAGGCTAAGCTGTGAGAAGACTTGTGTATGAAGGCTCGATATGATACTATTCAAAGATCGCGACTCACCTATCAAATGCATGAACTGAGAGTGAGATACTGCATCACGGAATCAATGCCCACGAAGCCATCTCGTCGTGGATCCCTTCCCCTTTCTCCCCTCATCCTCATACTCCTCCCCCGGCCCGTTCTCTCCCCGCTCATTTGCCGCATTCCACCTCCGATACGCCGCCTCAACCAACCCCCCAACCTCCTCCCTCGTCCCGCCCACCGTCCCGAGCACCATCAACGCCTCCGTCTCCTCAATCCAATTCTGTAACCTCCGGAACTCAATCTCCTTGCCCTTCAACTTATCCGGCATCCCCTGCCCCTTCATCCACGTCAACACGCCCGCGACAACGGTGTTCACCCCGCCGAGCACCGTGATACTCCGCCGGTGAACGCCCGCCGAAGGACCCAGGCACGTGAGCACGCCGCCGACGACGATCTGCGTAGCGTGACAGCTATAGATGAGGACAGTGGCGAGGATGCGGAGGGTGCGGAAGCGCCGGTGGGCGGCGATGGTGGAGGCGTAGATGCCGAGGGCGGAGGTGCGGCCTGCTTCGAGGTCGCAGTCGTCGGCGGGTTGTAGGTGGGTGTTTATGCCGACGGCACGGCGGAAGAGGAGGAGCGTCGAGGGGTTGTGGTCGGCGTCGTTTTCGTTGTGGGGTGAAGAGGAGGCATCGCGGGGTAGGAGCGGGGAGTGCTCGTCGTCGTCGCTTGGACGGGAGGGGAGAGGTTTCGACATGGCGGTTCGGCAGTCGTCTCGGTACTCTGGTCTCGGCAGTGATCTTTCGAGATATCAAATCGGATTGACGGATGAAACCCAAGGTTTTCAATGAGAAGATCTGGACGTTTGAAGTCCACAACTCAAGGACAGCCATCATTTATGAGGCCAACGCATCACTCATGGCTGGGGACCAACACAACAACCCACGGACCCGAATCCGTGATAAGCATCAGGTCAGAAGGGACTACAAGACCAGCCCCTTGGTTGCATTTGGATATCGCGAACCGATCACATTGATGGTGTTCGTGTCAAAAATATGGGTAAAACCCAACGTGCACTAAGACGGAACGCTGCAGCGGGCCGTCGGAGGGTGTGACGGAGCCTACGGTTATTGGCCGCAGATAAGTTGAGATGACACCAGAGTCACTCGTTACCGGTCATTCACAGCGGTGGAGTCCTTTGAAATGGAGCGAAATCTGTACCTGAGTTTCATCAGATGACTTTGGCAGAGACGTCTTAGATAAGAGACTTGATGAACGAGAGGACTGATTAGACGGCTCAGGCCATGGGTTCATAAGATCCTCGGTGAGGTCTCGGTGAGCCTGTGTGGTTCGGTGAGGATGCCGGTGAAGCTGACCAGCCCCAGGGATAGCAGCGCTGCAGGATCAGATTTCAGTAGAATGCCGTGTTCCATTTCTTGTGTACCTTCATTTTTCACACATAGGTAAGTTCTACCATCCTCTTAGCGCAACAATACACCACTGATCTGGCGTCGTCCCACGCGAAATATCAAAGATCGCAAGGTTACACCCTTGGGGCATCTCTGCCAGGCCCTCGAGACTTGGCTTCTCACTTCTGCCGAGTACGCCGCGATGCCGCATTACCCCCAAGTCAGTTTTATTTGAGGCGAACAACTTTGAACGCTGATCTGCCTCATTCAGAATTAGTGCGCAATCGTCAGTGGTGGTCTACCACGCGACAAGGAAACACTCTCGGTTATCATGCGTCTTTGCTGGCATCTGTCGATCTCTGACGTCAGGGACTCGGACCGACCGCAAGGGACATGCGTCTCTGCATCTCTGTCACTCTGGCGCGCTGTCGAGCGCGGGTGCTGTCAGCGTCGCAACACATTTCAATAGTCCGGATGGTGTCCGGGTTAGGACACGTTCCCGTCATTGAACCGAATCCCTCGCGTTGTCGGCCCCTTGAAGAGCTCTTGGAGGCCCTGGAATTCAGAAGGGGCTCGGACTAGGGGAATCCGAGCAGCGCAATGAAGAGGCGCGAAACGGGTGGGACAGGCTTCAGGAGGCAGATGCAGGAACAAGACCAAGCTTGCCGCAGGAGTCGGGGAAATGAGTCCGGTCTTGAAATATCTGACATGGGCGCGCAGCATTAGGGCCTCCTCTATCTGTAGAGTGAGTGGGAATTGAAAAAAGACCAGAGGAAGTCTGAGGAAGAGGCTGGAGAAGCGCGGCGTGCGGCTGTGTTTGTAAGAGTGAAACCGAGCCGCCGTCGGGAAGTTGTTTGCTGGGACCCAGGGTTCGGAGGGACTCCGCGTGTAAGCCACAGCTATTCCCGGGTAAAGGAAGATACAGCGGCGACCAGCCGATGAGAAGACTGAAGGGAAAACAAAGAGGGTGGTCAGGGATGTATTCGAGCTTGAAGCCTGCGGGATGACGCCAAAAACAGACGTGAGGGATCTTCTTCTAGACTCCGCCGGGGAAGCCAAATTCTCACCTATGGGGCACGCGCTCACTAGCACTCTTTACCGAGCAGTCTCCTCTTACTATCCCAACCCAGCCGTCTTATTATTCCTATGCGTGCCTTTTCTTTTGTCATTTGAATCTCACTCAACCACATATCCACTCATCCACTCGTACTCTGTACAATCCCATGAGCCCCAGCCACGGGGATAAGTGACTGACTTAGTACAAGGATCGATCACGAAGACCGAATGAGAAAAGTGAGATGGCGGTAACAATAGAAGCCTGGTGGAAGACAGACAGGGTTGGTGAAACAGATTGGCAGGTGCCTAGTGCGGGACAAGACTCATTTACCCTGCGAGAGATCACTCACTTTTCTGCGGGGAGTTGCACTCGGGGTGTAAAAATCACCATCAGGTACCGACACTAAGATGCGAAGATGCAAAGAAATGGAACTCTCTTGACTCTTCTGCCGTATTGCTGTAAACGGTACGGATGGATAGCAACACTCGAAGGAACGAGACCTTGGTGCTCTTCACCCCGTCCACGCAACACTCAATCTCTTTTCTCACTCAAGCTCATCTCATCTCACTAACAACTCACGAGGCGAATAGGAGGATCACGGTGGTTGAAAGTAGCACCGCCGTGCCTCCGCCGCCGCCTCATTCATCCTCCCCCGAACTTCCAACGTCCTGCTCCCGTCACTCGCCCTCGCCATCATCCCGTCCTTCGGACTCATTGACATAATCCTATTTCTCGGCCTCGCCTTCGCCTTGACATGTCATCCAGACACTGCTCCTCTGAAAGTCTCCCCCTCCGTCATCCTTGTCCGACCACCCCCGCGTCCTTGCGCGCCTTAGTGTCACACACCCCCCTCCCCCTTCGTCTTCCCGCCCACCTCACTTTTCCCAACGCGGCATTGGTCCAATGAACATCGCAATGAGCCGTCTGATCCTTCCGAAGGGGGGGTTGTTTCTCGATGAACTAGTCCTCGCAGCGTGCAGCTTGCAGCGTTATTTCGTACAGTCGCAAGAAGCAAGGCAAGCTGGCAAAGCAAGGTACCGAGTCGCACCAAGGGAGTGTCCTTGCCACAACATGATCCGTTTTCCAGCGATGTGAGCTTATTTTCCTTGGCTCTGGGTCTCCGATCCTTCCACTCGGGCATCTTGCATACTTATTTAACCTCTCCGCTGCCCATACGTCTCATCGTGAACTCGTGTTCGTAGTGTCTCATCGTAGCAGTCGAAGACTTCTGTTATCTCACACTCACCTTGAACACGTCTCGTCGCTGTTCATCACTTCAACATCACAGATCACATCGCAACGATGTACTCAAACGTCTTCCTCCTTCGCTGGGCAGCCACATTATTGGCGTCGACCACTGCCGGTAAGCTTATCATGAACGACCCGGAGTTTACTCCAAATCTTCAACGGCATCACTAACCCACCAAAAAGTCTACGCCGCCCCCGCGCAGCAAGCCCCGGCACTGCACCCCAGAGCCGACTTCAACATCCTCGTTGGCGGCAACGTCTCCCTTCGCCTCATGCCCCTCGGCGCCTCAATCACCTACGGCCTAACCTCCCCAGACGGCAATGGCTACCGCAAGGTCCTCCGCGACCTCCTCGTCGCCGACGGCAATCCCGTCGACATGGTCGGCAACCACCCCAACGGCACAATGGAGGACAACGACAACGAAGGTTGGTCCGGCTTCCGCATCGAACAGGTCCTCGCAAAGGCAAAGATCTCCGTACCCGAGACCCTGCCGAACCTAGTTCTCATCAACGCCGGCACGAACGACTGCGCGCAGAGCTTCGACACGGATAACGCGCACGTCCGGATGCTTGAGATGATGGATTACATCTGGGATACCTCCAAGCGCGCCACCATTGTCCTCTCGACCCTCCTCGTGAACGGGAACAACAACACGGAAGCATGTGTCCTCAAGGTCAACGAGCAGTACAAGACGCTCGCCTCGGAGCAGCAGGCGCTTTCGAAGAAGGTCGTACTCGTCGACATGCACTCCGACAAGGGCCCGCTCAAGAGCGATCTTGTCGACGGCACCCACCCCAGCGAAGCGGGCTACTCAAAGATGGCGTATATCTGGTTCGATGGCATCAAGGACGCTGCATCGCGCGGCTGGCTTGAATCTCCTCAGCCTCTGCCCGATAGCAAGCGGTCCGAATGACTCAAAAAGATTGCGCCGCTACTCTACATCGTGTTCCGCTTCGCCGGATACCCAGAGCCATCGAGCTCATAATGCGCACATCATGAACAAGAAGGAGGAGTAAAGCATATAACTGTAATTTTACTTCATCATCACTCTGCAGATTAATTAGCAAATCATCAAACCGGCGTTCGGGATGGGTCGCAAAAGGCCTGGAGGATATTTTATAGTTTCAATCTTCAGACACGTTGGACACAATTCATCCAACTAAATCCTTAGCGCCCTAACCAATGAGATCCATCCAGTGAATTGCCATAGCCATTCGTGCCGAGGGAGGCACAACAGCTTCCCGAGGATGTGGACGGGTGCGACTTCAGATGAATTGAGACGATCAGCTGATCGCCGGGACCCCCGGTAAGGATAACCTCAAGCTTCCTCCACTCGGGTCCGGTACGATCAACCGGTACGACCACATTCTATCATCATCAAGCACAACATCGTATCTTCAATCATCATCAACAAGATACATCCGAAATGTCTCGACCAGTGTTCACCGCTGTGTTTCTTTCCATCCTCTACCTAGCCAAGGTCGCGATCTACGACCTCTCCGTTACCAATGGCCTCATGGACCCTGCCCAGACGGGTCTCGCTGGGGAGCCGATCACGTTCACCACGTTGAAGCCGCTCGATGGCCTGCTCACCATGCTCGTGCGCTTCTTCAAGCCTATCCTCGACGGCAAAGACCCGAATCTCACTTTGTTCTCCATCTTCATGGCCGGCCAACTGCTGGCTGTGCATGTCCTCATTCAAGTCGAAGGTCTTAGAGCCGGAAATCGAGGTAGACTAGTCTCTTGGTGAGTCCATCCCCGACATCATGAGTCGACAGCCCTAACAAGCAAACAGTACAACGTCCTGGGGAATGCTCTGGCAACTCATGACCTTTGGCGCCACCTTACCCCTCTACTTTCTCACATACCTCTACACTTCCCCAATTCCAGAATCCCCATCACCAGACGCACTCGCCGCCGCGATCTCCATCGACTCGGTCCAAGCCCGCGCTGTCATCGGCTCCCTCACCTTCGGCGCCTTCCTCCCCACCCTCCTGGCGGCGCTCCCGTGCCCTAGCATCATCACCTCACGCACCCAGGAGATCCTTCTCGCCGTTTGGCAGGCGTTCCCCCTCTGGTCCGGTATCGCGCAATTTATCTTTGCCCAGCTTATTGGTACCTTAGGCGTGGCCTCGGAAGCCGCAAAGTCGAGGCGGCAGACCAAGATCAATGACTTCCGCAGGATCTACACGTACACCCTCTCTGTCGTCGCTGTCACATCCTACGGCGTCATCGGTTATGTCTTGTGGAAGGCTGGTTGGGCTTTGGAGCCGGCCATCGAGGCGATGATGCAGATTCTTCGGCCTACCTCGCCATGGTCTCAGATGAAGATGGCTTCGCTTGAGCGAGGGATTCTGGACCTTCTGCAGTGGGATACGTACTGCGCTTCTTTGGCCACCTGGACTTGGATTGCCTACCTGGCGTATGAGACGAAGGGCGTCGGTCAGGTTGTGATGGACTTGGGAAAGCTGGTCATATGGAGTGCGGTTGTTGGGCCTGGCGGTGCGGCGCTGGCTGTCGTCTGGGGGAGGGATGTCGGAGCTTTGAGGAGTGCTGGCACTAAGAAGAAGACTGGTTGAGGCACGGCTTTAGAACCAGAGTTTGGTGGAAAGGTGCCGCTCGCGATAGGTTGTAACAAGTAACTCTCCAATGTGCCATCCTGACTGGATGCTCAAGATTTGTCATAGGAGCCACACCATAGTCTCCAGGCATGTGGCTTTCGAGGCCCTTTCTCATTTCAACTAGCATTTCACCATTATTAGGCTAGATAGTGTTTAAAATAATAACATGGGCGTACCGATATAGTTGTAGAAGAACTCAACAACCACAGAGATCCAGATTGTCGAAGCTAAACTTGACCAAATCCCCAGTCGATTTGGGAGCTGTATGGCATAAGCGACAAATAACCCGCTTTCACGCCACCAGGCAAGGGCTTCTTGTTGAGTGTCCATCGCCTGATTTAGCAACGACAGTGTTGAGAGATGCAAGAACTAAGCCCAGGTTGAAAATGACTGAGCTCCAGTTAAATATTGGCAGAACTGCTCCCAAAGCATTCCGTACTCTCGAGAGAGTTGCTGAACACGGCGACTATATTCGTGGTCTCTTCACAATATCACTTTAACTACTCGCGTATGAACGCCCTGATAGATGAAGTATTCGACTAGTAACGACTTATGATTGTTTGTAGATGTTCAAAGCTGAGTTTGACGATCTCATACCACTGATGCTTCAAATAATCTTTTGTATCGTGCATCAATAGCCGTTTATCAAGCACGACCTATCCTAGACAAGTATCACCGTTCTCCAGATTGGCCCCGCTGCCTTCCAAGCATTTTTTCGTATCTTACCCAGTCCCACACGTGTAGCAGTCTTGCGTCCATGATCCCACTCTACCATCATGACATTGTACAACGGAAATCCGTCCACATCCACTCTTTTCTCGTTTCCCCAATATTGTGATTCTGAGAGAAGTATAAAGTCAAACGAAGAAAGGTGAACTGACTGTTTGCTGTTGGTAGGTATCACAAATCCCACAATGTTGCCAACTGCGTCTCGTATTCCGATTTCTTTGATGACTAGTTCCTTCACAACCTCAAGCACCGAATCTCGTGTTTCAGCGGCTGATCTTTGAGGTTCTTTGGAAGCCTTGAGGGGACTGTTGATATCCGCCCTAGACTGCCAGAGAGTTTCTTTGCGGATTTTGGCCGTGGAATCCAGAACAAAGGGTGCGACCTCCGTCTCACAGACAAGGCAGTGAGCCCGAAGAATTCCCTCCGCAACCTTGGGTACCGTTTCTGCGTATTTAATAAACGCGGCTGACTTATTTGTCGCACGAAACTCCAAAGCTTGGTCGATGAACTTCTTCGCTAAATCCGGGTTGTTGAGAACTAGTCCTAACCCATTGCCATTCATCGGCGCCAAAGAGGGAATGCTAACGACAGGACCTTTGGCAGAAGAATTCCCACGGACTGCGACTTGTGGTGTGGTAGAGATAGAACCCGACTGAGGTTTCGGAGGCGGTGGGCGCTTGGGAGGTGTCGGGCACGATGTTGCCTTATACTGTGTCGAGCGATCGGGTTTTCTAGGGACAGGCGGCTTGACCTTTTCCTGAGATATCCCTTCCTGGACTTTATACCAAAGGATCATTGGCTTATGGCGCTCTTCTGCTTTCGTACCAGTTGCCACAACCTTCCTCAAAGAAAGGTCGTCAAAGCTTGAAACCCAGAATGGCTCCTCGAAACGTACTCCAGGATGAGTCTGACTATCGTGGTCGTTGGGATTTGCCTTACATGCCTCCCAGCCAGTCCATGACCAGCTGGGAAAGGCGCCGCCAGCGCGCCTGGCAAGATGGACATCTTGAATCGCAGGTGGTTGCCAGAGAAGGGCGAGGTCAAGTAGTCTTTCGGGAAGATCATAGAGTGAATGGTTTTGCTGCTCGGCCGTAATGGCTCCCGGAGTTCTGATGGCATCCAAGACATTGAAAAGCCCCGTCACACCATTCAACACATCTGCCGAGTCGGTTATACCTCGACTCGTGTATTGCTCCAGGATTCTGGCATACTCCGTAAAGTGAGGTGACCGTAGAAGAGTAGTTGTACCATTCCATCTCTCGGTAGTCTCAACATCTTGTGGATTCCCCGGCGGCGACAAGGAGATGATCGGCCTTGGCGTGTTGCCCGCTTGGATGGCCGGCAGGTCTTCACGCAAAACACCGAATCGGCAGTGAAAGCTGGCGTGGTTCTCTGTGAAGACCAGCATTCGTTTCGAAAGAAGCTTCTCCTGCAAAGTCCATGCTCTTGTGTCCCATTTTCCATATGTTTGTGGATATCGAACTGGAAGCAAGACGTTGACACCAGGAATAATCTCACTGGCAATTTGTGCTGGGACACGATCCATGGATATGCCTGCCAGCCCCGCATTGGCATGAGTTCCTGCCGCGGCCACCAGGACGATCTGAGCATGGCCGAATATTTTGTCCATTTGTTTGGTTTGCAACCGACGAGCCGGTTCGTCGTCAGGCCCTGTTGGGTCTTTTTTGGATGATGCAGAGGCTGTCCACCCAGAGGTAGCGGATCCCAAGACGCTTGGTGGTTGCAATAGCATCGCGGGTCGTTGTACCGACAGGGCTACCAGGGACATTGATCGATTCATCGAGGTCCCTTAGGTTTGTGGTGTAAAAATTGAGGGCTGCTTTGCCTTCATCTCCCCAAACATATGACAGAGCGGTGTATTTTGGCAGCCTATTAAGCCCATCAGATCTTACACGTACAATCCGTTCATCCTCGACGTCTACCAGTCGAAAATGAACCCCTCCTGGGCGTGGGGAGCTCCCTTGCCCAGGTTGGCTGACTGCACTTCTTGTCGTGATTTTTGAGACAGTGCCTCATCCAGCTTAAGCAGTCGTCTTCTACGTTGATCCTAGGGGTGATGATCTTGCCGTAACTCAGGTTTTTTTGGGCATTTTGGGTATGATATGGTGCGGCCATGCGGAGGTTGAACGTGGTCAAGCAGGAGAGCAGTGGCTTTGGCCCACAGCCAAATCCCCAGACTCCCACAACGAACAGGCCCACGCCAGATCCATCGGAGGCATCATTCATCTGTACCGAGACGCCGACAGGCAGCTTGTTGTCTGCTCTTTTCACCAGTGTGATAACCGTTGGGATGACTCCCCGTACTGCCTCGAGGATCCGGGCCGTGTCTTGATCATCCGATTTGGCTGATTGTGCGATGGCATGATACACAGCAGTATTGGCGACTGCCACCTGACTCGCGAGTATGAGATCCTTTTGCATCGTGTTCTCATCCATGGTCCATTGCACAGTTTCTTTTCCGTGGCCATCTTCCCCGTCGAAATCGAGGTGTATGACATCGCGACCTCTTCGAAAGGGATGACTCGACCAAGGAACACGGCTCCTCCAGTCAAGTCCATCGGCCCACTGTCTGAAGTTCTTCCCAATGAAGTCTTGGGGCATATAATTCTTGATGGCTGGGTGCTCGAAAGGGTCGTGGGCACAAATCGCCTCGAAGAGCAAGCTGCAGAAGTTGCACCTCTCCTTCTTCTTATTACTGATGATGTTTTTAAGGTCGAAGACCCATGATTCGGACAGCAGTGCTGATCTGCTATGGCTGATGTTTTTGTTGGAGAACTGCTCGAAGTTTAGTTCGGAGCAAGACTTGCAGATGGCGTCTGTTTTTCGAGGCTTTTTGTCGCTACCAACCCAGCCTCGAATCTCTGAAGTAAAACTCGAAACTCTGTGAAGTGTATGAGGGAGAGGGCGACCACTGCGCGAGTTGTCGTTCGTGACTTCGCTAGCCACGCTAGCTACGCTACTGTTGCTCTGAAAAGGGAGGCGTCCAGCCTGCTCCAACGACGGACGGATTGAGCCTTCCCCGTTGGCCGTAGCAAACGTCTCAGGCCTACTGGATGGCCTCAGGAGGCGTATGAAATTCGAGGCCATGTTGATGGGACAAATCGATCATTGGATTGATCGAGTTGAAGTCGAGAGGCTGTCCTCACAAATGGAGACGTTTTACTTATCAAGATTTACATCAACCGCAAAATTGGTAGCAGCCAAAACCAAGGCTGGCCGCCGTGACGTTACTCTGCGCAGGTGGGTGGCTAGATGCTGGGCCCCAAAAAGCCTCAAACCAGAGGCTTACTGCAATCCCATCACTCCTGCCACTTTTTGGCCATCATGGGTGGCGATTGGGAATCAGGCTGGCTGCGCTTCTGTAATTTGGTCTCAGGTATAGACAACCTGTAGGAGTGCCCCTTGCCTCCTTGAGAAGGCGACCAATCCGACACTGCGACAGCAGAAACATAAGCTGACCTTCCAAGAGTGTGTGCGTCCGCTGCATCAAATCGTGTAACATATCAGGGTGCAAGATTCTCTAGCTTGAGTCAATCCGCCCCCATCTTACGAAGCTGAATGATGGGGTGCCGCGATTGCGGGGTTGGTGCAGTTGTGCCCCTAACCTGCATCGTAGACTACCAACCTCACGCAGACATGCTGCCATCAAGCTGACGATTTCAAATGATCTCTCGTAATTTAGCCGTCATATCACACTGGCTCCGAGGGAGCCAACAATCTGTTGCTTAGGAATGACACCCAACGAAAGTAATTATGGGAAAGATAGCCAACATGCCATCTTGACCGGTGTATGATTCTTGGCAACAGGATGCCTCGCACTTGCCTACGTGCGAGAAGAGAATTTCAGTCCAGCCTTTTGATCTTGGCGAATTAGGCGAGAAGTTCCTCATACGGTTGACCAAGACAACTCGAAGTATGTAACAGAAGCCCGTGTATTTATCTATCTGACGATTATGATGGCTGGCTGTATGACCGGCATCGTCCCTGTGCCGAAAAAGGGTCAAAGGGAAGTTTCATCCTTACGGTATTTGGATTGCTTTAGAAGCCTGGAAGACAACATCGCAGATTCCTAGGGAAGTCGATCGTCAGATCCTACTCAGGCACTCAGGCACTCAGCGATGCACTTCTCGCCGGCCAGCCATGATCAGCGACCCGGCTGGGTGATCTGCAGTATCATACAGAGCCATTAAGTACTTATCAGTTAACTCAAGTTTCTGTCTAATCGAATCCCTAAAAAGGCAAAAGATGAATTGAGGACGGCCCGACTCGAACGGACAGCCTTCTGGACTGGAATCAGATACGCTACCATTGCGCCACGCCCCCGGATTTCTTTTGAAGAATACGGTCCTCAATCGAATGAGAAGAGCGGAAAGCCAGAATTCTGGAGTTTCCGGGGAACAGGATGTCGACAAAGGGGTGCGGGAAGCGTGACGGTTGTTGTTTGTTGAAACTTGGTGGTGTAAGTGGACGGGGTCGTGTGAAGTTGTGAACTAGCGGGAGCTGACCGAGCTCACCGAAGTTCGGATGTGGGCACGGACCATGACTTCGGAGAATCTTGGCTCCGCTTTGGTGTGCTATTCACCGAGGTGAACTTTGGGTGGACCTTCACTTTTCGCGACTCCAAGCTCTAGTCGCATTTTCCATCTACATAGTTGCTTCCAGTCTTCCATACCGGTCTTTCCACAACCAGACCACCACCTTTTCTACTCCTCTACAGACAACTCCACCGAAACCACTCCCTTCTCTGCTGCGGCACAAGTTTGCTTCAAAGATCTCCCACCCCTAAACCACCACCACCGAAAACCCACGACCAACCCTCCCCATCGCGCACCTTACAAGATGGACTACCAAAACCGCGCCGGCTCCAAATTCGGCGGCGGCGGCGTAGCCTCCTTCAGCGCAACAAACGCAGACCGCCGCGAACGCCTCCGCAAGCTCGCCCTCGAAACAATCGACCTCGACAAAGACCCCTACTTTTTCAAAAACCACGTCGGCTCATTTGAATGCCGCCTCTGCCTAACAGTCCACCAAAACGACGGCTCCTACCTCGCCCACACCCAGGGCAAAAAACACCAGACCAACCTCGCCCGCCGCGCCGCCCGCGAACAGAAAGAAGGAAAGCAGAATATCGACCCTGCGACGGGTTTACCCGTCGGCGTTGTCGGCGCGGGCTTCGGTGCGGGACAGAGGAGGAATTTGATCAAGATTGGACGGCCGGGGTACAAAATCACCAAAGTCCGCGACCCGATTACGAGGCAGCAGGGGTTGCTGTTCCAGCTTCAGTACCCTGACATCGCGCCGGACGTGGAGCCGAAATGGCAGGTCATGAACGCCTTTACGCAGCGCGTCGAGGAGCCGGATAAGAACTTCCAGTACCTGCTCGTCGCGGCGGAGCCGTACGAGACGTGCGGGTTCAAGATCCCTGCGCGCGAGCTGGATAAGCGCGACGATAAGCAGTTTAGCTTCTGGGATCCGGATGCGAAGGAGTATTGGCTGCAGGTTATGTTCATGTCGGAGCGGGAGGAGAGGTATGTTGCGGCGCCTGGTACGAGGCGGTGAATGTGTCCAGGAAGGGGATGGCGAAGTTGCGAACAGGTGTCAACGGATGTCTCTGGTGTACAAGACACGACGGGGATTCGTTTCGGCGTGGGAGGCGAGAAATTTCCTGCTTCACTCAGATCCAAGGGATCATCAGGGGCACGATCTCTTGTGGCGATGGGGAATCACAGTCTCGGGCGACCTTCAGCCACAGATGCTATATGGGTTACTTTGATCAATAGTGGCTCCATGTGGTCCTATCCCAGTGCCACCAGCGAGGTCATATCACGGCGTTTTGGGTGTCGGTAATTCGAGGAAGAGGGAAAATTTTGTATGGCTGCTTTTGCTCATCAGGTCTCAGAGTAAACAACACGAGACAAGCTGACTTGGACCTCCGATAGAGGCTTAAGATCGGGATCGAAGTGGCACCAAGCCAACGGCTTCGTAGAGAAGGCCAGATATCCCCTAGGGACATTTAACTCAACGAGTATCGATAACAAACAACAGACTGAAGACCAATCAATACTGAATGGAATTCAGGCTCACTATGGAAAACGAGTGACCAAGATCAAACAATGAAAGGCTCCAAATCATCCAAAAGAGCTATGGTTTTTGATAGCACTAGTGCCGAGGAAGAAACGTTTGGAAGGTGATCGAACTATGGTCCGCTGTTCACCTGTACTCAAGTATGGGGAAAAGAGCTACGGAGAGGTTAAATATCGAAGGAACCGGACACATCAAGATCAATTGTCAATGATCACCAAGAGACGAGAGTAAATCAAGCACAAGCGTCATCCATCAAGCCATAAGTCTTGTTCTCGAATGCATCGTCTGGATTGCATCTACCACTTCACTGTTGCCAGTCGTCCTCATGACTCTCTGAATCCCACAATGTCATCCATCACTGATAGATCCAGCATTACCAGTACATCCTGACATCTCCCCCGCACGCCCCCTCCAGCTCTCTGTCTGCTTCATCATGTTTCTCATAATGAAAACTCTAGGCATCCACGGCCGTATCCACTACATCCCTCCAAAAGACAACATCTCGATTCCCCCCTCCCATCTACATGATTTGTGCGACTTGGTGTCTTGATGCGAGTTAACGCCCTGTATGCAGTGACTGAAAACAAAAAACGGTAAATGCAAATCTTGTGAAACAAGAATTCTGGGTGTATTGGGTTGGCAGTAGGCAAAATGAAGTCGCCAGTGAAGCACTGGCAGTCTCATCGTCCTCCAAAGTTCATGTCTTGCTCAGCAAGTCGGCAATCCCTGAAACCTGGAGGCGAGAGTCGCAATGAGCTAGCCACCAAAACAATGTGCTTGCCACGCTTATCGGAAGTTGTTATCGAACCGCTTGAAGGTGTATCCAATGAAGGGCAAGCTCATTTCGGGAGACTCCTCGACCACCGCCGGCACACCCGAGCGGGCTTGCTGAACGGCCTGAGCCTTGAGAATCGTGGCATTATCAGTCTGGTCAATCTCGTCGGTCGGGAAGTATGTGGTATCGATGGCCGAAGTCAAGCGAGGCTCGAAAGGAGCTCTGATGCGACGCAGGCTGTCGAACTCAACTCCTCTGAAGAATGAGTGCTGCTTGATCTCATGGGCGCCCGAGCGACCCAAGCGGTTCTCTGTGTTACAGATCAAGCTGTTCTATATTAGTACCCTGCACTATCTCCGTTTTTGAGGTTACTCACCTTCTAATCAGGTTCTCAGCTTCCACGCCAAGCTGGATATCATCAGGGAAGTACAGCGTCTGTCTCCAGTTGACAATCTTGCGGTATGTGTCGTGGCTGTCCTCAGCGCAGAAGGGAGGCCATCCAACCAGACACTCAAACATAATGGTGCCCAGGGACCACCAGTCGCAGTCAAAGGTGTAGCCGTGGCCTGTGAAGATCTCGGGAGCAATGTAATCAGGCGTTCCGACGGTGGAGTAAGCCATCAGTCTCCTCGACCGACGCCAGTCGTTGATCTGGGATCTGTTGCTGACAGTGAGGTTGATTTGATCAATGGCAACAGAGTTACGGTCGCGCGGTTTGTTAGATCGGCCCTGTAGCAGCTGTTGGTAGTAGTTGTTGTCATGCAAGCGGTTGAATCCGGTTGAAAGTCCGAAATCGGTAAGCTTGACGTGACCTCCGCGGTCCAGCAGAATGTTGTCCGGTTTGATATCACTAGGCCTGTCAGCTTTGCGAGCTCAAAACTTGTAGACTACTTTTGACCTACCGATGAATGAAGCCCAGCTTATGGACTGCCTCGATCGCAAGCACAATCTCGGCAATGTAGAAGCGCGTGATGTCTTCAGAGAAGATTTCGTACTTGATCAGCATGGTCATCAAATCACCTCCGGGCAAGAACTCCATCAACATGTACAGGAAATAGGAGTCCTGGAAAGTCGTGAAGAGCTTGACGACCCAGGGACTGTCTGACTCGGCCAGAATATCTCTCTCTGAACGGACGTGGGCGAGTTGGTCCTTCTTGAACATCTCTGTCTTTATCAGAGACTTCATCGCGTACACCTTGCCGTCATTCTTCTTCTGGACCAGCTTGACTTCACCGAAAGCACCCTTGCCGATGATCTTAATGGTGTTGTAGTTTTCGGGCTTGTCCTTGGTTCGCAGGAATCGCAGGTATTGGCCTTCCTTGCGACCGGCCGTGGACCAAATCTGCTCGCGTCTTTGCTGGCTCTGGCCAGGCTCGGAAAGCTTAACCTCCATCTCGGATTGTCTGTGGATCGGAGAGATTAGCACGTGCCGCCTTGGAGTTGCCAAGTCTTGTCGAACACTCACCTCTGGTTGCGTTCTCTGGCACGCTTCACGCTGTCCTTGAAGAAGTCGGAGGCCAATTGGGTACACTTCTTCTGGTTGTTGTTGGCGTTCGGGCCGTACTTCTCGTAGAGTCGCTCGGGAGCGGGAGCAAAGACCTCGACGGGGACTGCCTGTTGGTTTGGCATCGGCGGCGTCGCATAATGTCCGTAACCCTGAGGCGTCTGCCCCGCTGCACCGGCAGTGCGAGGTCTTTGAGCGGGCGAGGGCCCGCGGGAACCGTATGGCGATGCCCGAGCAGCGCCGCCTAGGTTTTGGTGAGAGAATTGGTGCGCGAGACCGACATTGGGATCGTTGGTCCCCGGGGTGTTGGATCGAGGCTGATAGCCGGCATTGTAGTCACCGTGGCCCTGGGGAGGATATTGGCCCTGCTGCTGGTTCGGGTGGAAGTAGCCCTGTTGAGCGTAACCGGTCGCATGCGGCTGCTGCTGCTGCGCCTGGTATTGCTGCTGTTGGTGCTGCATACCGCCGGCCTGTTGATGTTGCTGCTGCTGCTGCTGGCCTTGGTGAGGGAAGACTGGCTGGGGAAAGGTAGAAGGCGTGGTGGGATACTGTCGGTCGCCGCCGGGACCCAGACGATCTTGGTTACCGATGTTGAGGTAGAGACGGTTATTATTACCCTCCATTGCGTAGAAGTTTCGTCTTGACTCGGGGGGCACGTCGTGTGCGGGTAGGGGTTGGCAGTTGCGTAGGCTGTGCGGGCGACCTAGCAAAGTGGCAGTTTAATTGACAGTGCTATGGGCGAGCGGACCGTGGAAGTGAGGCAACGACTAGAGTGGTAGACGGCGGGGAGGCTGCTAAGAAGATGGGAAGGTTGCAGCCGCAGTGCGCAGGGTCAAGGCGGGTGGTTGGATGGATTGGGGTCGTCCCCCGGGGCGGAAGTCGAGGAGAATAGATTGCGGTGGGCGGGTGAGTGGATGGGAGGTCCTCGCAACCCACTGGAACTTGATGAATGGTAAGTGCGTGCCCTAGTGAAAGAGGAGAGGCCAGGGATGGGGACGTAAGGTCGGTAAGGCAGGATATGTGAATGTTACGATATCTGGAGGTTGGAGTATCACCACATACCTTGGCAAGTCGAATAAGTGTAAAGGCGGTCGAGAAGGCTAGTTTGTCTATCTTCAGTGCTCACCAGCAAAAAAAAAGGGGTGGGAGGCGAGGATTTGTCGATAGGGCGCTTGCAAATGGAGCAAAAGGTGCAAAGGTGGCGGAGAGGGGCTTGATGCTCCAAGGGGTGGAATTTCCCCGGTGCCAACAGCGCAGGCGAGAACAACGACTGCCGGGCAAAGCTAGGAAGCTAGCTGTGTGTAGTCGGTGTACGGGTGATAGGAGGCGGTAGGTTGAAGCACCTCGTAGCTTGAGCGAGGTGAGGAAAGGTAAAGCTGGCAAAAGTCGAGGTGTCGAGGAGGGAGACAGAGGTCCAAGTCACGAGACCGGCAGGAGCTGGTGTTGGATGAGGTACTCGGTAAGGCAAGGTAAAGTTTTGGTGTTTGGTATTTTGTTGCCGGTACTCTGTACTTGGCTCTCAGCACACACACACACACACACACACACACACACACACACACACACACACACACACACACACACACACAAGAGGAGGCGGTCGAGTCGAGTAGGCACGAATAGGAGGATTCCAGGTTTGAGGTGGCCTTGGATTGGGGTCGGTCTGAGAATGGGAGGGGAGGGGGGGGAGGAGGGGTGATGGGATGCACAGAGGGACGGACACCTGCGAAGCGGCCCCGGCAGTGAGGTGGAGCAGAGTCACGAAGTGCAGGAAGGCAGGAGTCCGTCGAGGTAGCAGGTACCTTCCATCGTCCAACTGCAAGCCTTGAATGGAAGGAACGCAATTGGGTTCAACGTCAGAGTCTGGTAGGTTGCTCCTTCCCCTAACTTTTGAAGGAAGGTATGCAGCCCGCTACAGCAAAGAAAAGGGAAAGACCAGACGGGGATGGCGGGAAGGGACTCCTGAAGAGAAAGAACGCCGCACCTGCCACAAGCACCACAAGCACCACACTACCAGCACCTGAGGCGAGGCGGGGATCTGAGAACTCAGGGGAGGGGGGCGGCCTTGAAAGTTGAGGGGCCTCGCTGGAGTCCTGGACCCCAAGTACCCCTAAGGTTCACCCAACGCCGAGCTGTGAGTGGCCGATGGGCGGGGAGGTGGGGTCGGAGCTGCATCCACTGGGATTCTGGGAATGCCTCCGCCGCATCTCCTCCACTTGGGGGTTTGGCATCTGGCCTTATGCCTTGTGAGGATTCAATCATAGCACTACCTTGTAGTTGACAGTGTAAGTACTACAACCGTGAGCTTGTTTTTTTGAACTCACATCATGCATACAATGATGAATATTGCATGCGCTATTCACTCCAGGTCGTTACTGCATTGCATTTCTAGCTCCTTCCCAAATATCTCCATCATCGGCCGGGATCCACAAAATATGCGGGGCGGAAATCAACAACGAGGAAGAAGGGGCGCGGACGATGTGCTAAGCAACTGGCAGGAGACCGCCGATATGTACCTTGCCTCACACCGTCCTATGCAAGGTACATGCATCTCGAAAGACTCGCTTAGTCTCCCCCTTTCACCGACTATTGAATCTTGATACTCCAGACTCAAGGTCCAACTCGACATCATCTTCTGCCGTGGATGATGGAACCCAGCCCGCCAACGTATCGGGATGCTACAGCTAGGTTCCTGAGCTAAAGTACTAATCCGACTCAGTCACTGACTTTCCCCGGGGACCTCAAGTAGCCAGCGGAAACTCTGATGCAACTACCGCATCTCAAGCCTCTGTTTCCGAATCGTCCCTCACCTCCCAACCTCAGATGACCGCCCCTCTTCACCGGGAAACAGACACACCACTCCTTACACCTGAGACCTGAGATTCAGCATTCGTTAATACCAACTAGCTGACATTGCTAAGAGTGCTATCGCCGTCTTCAGTCTCAGCGATTGGCTTTTTACTTCTCCCCGTGCAACATCGTCCCGGCATCTCGCCGAATGCCTTCTCCAACCGGAGCACGCAGAGTCCCTTGGCGTAAGGTAACTTGGGTATCAACCGGACGCGGACAACCTGAAAGTTCGGATTGTTTGTCTACGTCTGTGAATGGCCAAACGGTTTAGGCCTTCGGGAAGCTCAAGCGGTCGCATCACTTACGCATCCTGCCCGCCTGCGCCCCAGCATGGCTATCCCTTCCACCCAGTTCATCTCTCCCGTCGCCGTCTCGTCTCGCCCGCATCCGCACGTCACTTGGACCCTACATAGGCTCTAACAGGGTCCTTTCACGGTTGAAGACATGCAAAAGAAAATCTAGTCAACCTTCCCTCCCGGTAAGGTGTGCCGACCACCAACTCATTCCTGACCGAGCGGTCCGGCGGCGGTGATGGCGGCGGTATCATCTACTATACCCACCCAGCCCAACAGCCTGGCTCACGCTCGGCATCGGCACAAGGCATCGTCGGCCGTCTACAGCCGCCGTGAGACACGGCTCTAGAAATAAATAGCATTTCTAATGCCTGCCGCCCCGCTCCCATCCGCTCTAAATCTTATACGATTGTCACACCCGTCACAGGAAGAACAAGCTCACAAGCTCACCCGTGGCACATGGCAGCGTTACACTCTTCGTTCTCGTATGCATGGCATTCCTGCTCTTCCATCTTCGATTCCGCGATCTGTTGCATGTCACCAGCATCCTGCCGATGTTAGTACCATCTCTATCTGTCGATTACGCCGTGTTCCCTGTTCACGACGCACAACCCATGGCCCCAATGTCTCGCGCTTGTCACCCAAACCAACCCGTTCAACCTCGTATGGCGGAGTCTCCTGAGCAGCACAGAAGAAATCAACAAGCCTAGCGCACCGCCACACATTATGCTCTCGATGGGATGACGAAGCTCGTGGTCGGAGGACGACCGCTGGGATCGAGTGATGCCCTGTGCCTGTATCAGGTTTACCTAGTGATCCATGGTTGAGCTGCATGCCCGCTGCCATCGCCGCCCAATGACCACAGCCCGACGACGCCCCCTCTGCTGTGCAGCTACCTGCCATCGCGAGTTTTGGGGCTGTCATAGTGCAGAGAGGTCGATCATGCATTAAGATCTACCACTCTTCACCGGGGATCGCCAGACAACCGATTTTCCACTAAGAGAGCACGCCAGCGTGGGCCACGACGTAGCGCCCGTTGCATGGGCAGTCTTTCACTGGGATTCGGGATCCAGGCGGACTACGTGGGAAGGAATATCGCTCCAACGATCCAGGCGATTGTGAATTCCATCTTTAGCTTAATGGCATGAATTAGATGTTCGTATGAAGAAGAGGCTCTCGACTCTCGAGAGCAAGATGTCGTGACAGCTCGGTCGGTACGTCCCTGAGTGAAGGTAGTTTTCTACTTTAGGAAGGCGGTCAGATCTCAATTTACGCTATACTGTTTGGGGACAGATAGGTCCGATAATTCGGCGAAGCTCTTATCGCGACTAAAATTTCCGAAAACCTCACTCCCGTTCTCCTGGCCTGAGGTAGGACATATCGAGGCATTGCGAGCCATCGTTCTCACAATCGCATCTCCAGTACGGCACTTATCGCCATACACAAAAAGTCTCCAACCCAGCCATATTCCCAAGACATCCCCATTATGGCGGACTCAAACCCCACGCCGCCCGAGGTAAGCAAGCAAAAGCCCACCCCCATCATCGCGAACCTCAAAACTGACAATGGCATCCTCCAGGCGGCCCCAAAAGCACCGACTCCCTCTCCCGCGACGACTACCTCAACAACCACAACGACAGCCACCTCCGCCGCAGAAGGCTACAAAGCCGCGAAACCGAACCCAGTCTGGCAAATGATGGGCCTCCGCGGGCCCCCCAAACGCCTCCCCTCCCGCAACTGGCTCATCTTCCTCTCCATCACAGGCACCATATCCGCGGCCATCATCTACGACAAGCGCGAAAAGAAGCGCGCCACAGCCCGCTGGGCCGCCGCCGTCTCCCCCCTCGCCCGCGAACCCGTCACAGACCCCTCCCAGCTCCCGCGCAAACTCACAGTCATCCTCGCCTCCCCACCCGGCGACGGCCTGCGCGTCGCGCAGGACCACTTTATCGAGTACGTGAAACCCATCCTCGCCGCGTCGGGTCTGGATTGGGAGTTTGTACAGGGCCGGCAGCAGGGTGACGTCCGCGCCGCTGTGGCGGAGAAGATTCGGAGGCGAAGGAGCAGGGAGGAGAGGCCTGAGGTCGAGCTGCTCCCTACCGAGGAGAATCTCCGCGACGCCGTGCGCGCGAAGAACGGCACGCCCGAGTTCGAGGGTCCCGGGGGCGACATCGTTATTGGGAGACACGCGTGGAAGGAGTACATTCGCGGTCTACACGAGGGCTGGCTCGGCCCCCTTGACCCGCCTCCCAAGCCCGAGGTAGTCTCTACCCCTGAGCCCATAGCATCCGAAGCAACATCAGACTCTACATCAACAGAAATAGCAGAGAGCGGTGCCGTCGAAGCAGAAAAGAAGGAGGAGGAAAAGCCCAAAGAAGAAGAAAAGAAATCAGACCGCCCCCGCCAACCCGTCCCCCACAACACTACGGCAGACTACTCGGCCTCCCACCTCCCCTCCACCCTCCCCGCCGAATTCTCCCCCTCGGAACCGGTGCAATTCCCCCACCTCCTCGGCTTCGCGGGCACCTTCACCCGCATGGGCCGCTTCTTCAACCGCCGCCAGCTAGCAGACGACGTAGGCCGCCAAGTCGCCGCCGCCTGCTTCGCCCACGCCCGCGAATACCGCGACGCCGAAGCCGACACCTCCACCTCCTCTTCGGACCAGGACGCCGTCCCCACGCCGTACGAACAACAGCGCGCTCTGGCGCACGAGGAACGCGACTGGGTGAAATCCGTCTGGAAGCCCGTCGACGACGCGACGGCCGACGAGGAGGAGAAGACCAAGGAGCGCATCTGGGCTTCGCCCATGGTCGTGGACGCGCGCATCGCGCAGCGTATGCGGCGGTTCGAGATCCGGCCCGAGGACGAAGAGCGCGCAAAGGGGATTGTTATCCCTGAGACGGAGATTGAGGGCTGGATCAAGGGGACGGTGCGGTCTTTGGGGTTGTGGGGGTGGAGTGTGATCAAGGGGGAGGAGCGGAAGGGTCCTAACGTTGGAAACATTGACGACGAGTAGACTCTCCCCTTTGATGTTTACTTTTCCCTTCCGTAGAGGTGTACAGTTGGCGACGACTGAGGTGGCTGATGTGAAGAATACCTCAGGAAAAGGAGACGATGTATAACTATCTTGACCACCACCACCCCACACAGCTCTAGGGAAAGCGACTGGGAAAGGAGGGTTCACAGCATATTGTAATTCTAGCTTGTCATTTCTCGTTCTTTTTCCTTTATACTCGTCCGTCTCTGCTGCATGGATAAGAGCGCGGGAGGTTATCATAGAATAGACTATGGGGGTTCGTTGGCGAAAAACATGCCATGAGCGTCCGCTTGTTACGAATAGTACTGTACACTCCTCTTTTCTTCCACCCCATGTTCTTTCCCCTGGTACCTATTTACAGTGTCTGTGGCAATCGTGGAACTGCGAGGTGAGTTGTCGACATGTCCTTGCTTGAGGTTACGCCAACCATGGCCTGGTATCAATACATGTCTCTATAGCTTGTGCGTCGTGACGACAACCAACTAGTCACCACTTTGAGAGAGAACCTACAAGTTTCAAGTACCATGGTACTCCCTCAGTCATCATCCGAGTCGGAACCATACGCAACAAGACTCGGTTTCCCCTTCACCGGCGCAGGTGCAGGTGCAGACGCAGGTGTAGTCGTAGTCGTGGTCGCAGCCGCAGGCACAGGCACAGGCACAGGCACAGATGTACCCCCTTTTCCAACGCTCTTCTCTAACCCATCACCCTTCTCACCCCCCTTCTCCCTCCTAACCCCAAATCCTCTCTCCCTATCCCTCCTCCGTCTCTTCCTAGGCCCAACAGCCCACTCCCCATCACCATCATCTCCCCCGTCCACCGGTGCCGCAGCATTCTCCTCCTCCTCCTCCTCCTCCTTCTCCCCGTCCCCATCACCAGCCCTCTTCACGCCCGAGCCTCCTCCACCCTGCGCCCTCCGAAACGCAGCCAGCCCCTCCTCCGTCTCCCTCCTCACCTTGTCCTCCTCAGCCCTCTTGGAAGCCCTCACCTCGTCCAAGAAATCAATCTCGTCATCGTCCAGCGCCCGGAACTGGTTCTTAATCTTGTTGGCTTCTTCAAAAGCAGCTTGTTTCGCGGCTATATTTCCACAAGTGACAATGTAATCAGTCTATCAAACTCTTCAATGCACAACATCCTCTCTCCTCTTCATCTTCCCCTTAAACTTCCTCTTTTGCATTTCTGATCGCCATAGAAAAGGGGTCAAGTAAAGATAAAGGAGTTGAAGAGAAGAGAGAGGGGTAAAAAAGACTCACCTTTGTTAGCCTGCAAAACATCATACAAACTCTTTTCCCCGCCCTCAACGCTCTTCACCCGCGCCTCCTCCCTCCTTTTCCTCTCCGCATCGAGCTCCCTCTGCACAATCTCCCATTCAGCACTCTTCTTCGCCTCAGCAGCCTTGCTCGCAGATCCAGCACCACCGGCATTCGTCGTCGTCGCCATGGTAGTCGTATCTTCAACCACAGCCTCCCCCGTCTCGGCATTAATCGCCCCCGCCGACACGAACCTCGACATCTTTGTTGTAATATCTCCTTCCCTTTTCTCGGGCTCTTTTCTGTTTTGAAGGGGTTCCTTTCACTAGATTCAACCCCTAAACCTCTGTCTAGGGCAGAATAGGAGAGTGTCTCCTCGTCTGCAATAGAACAGGAGAGGGAAAGTTAAACCCAGGCCGATTCGCTCCTCGGATGAGATGGTAGGCTATTATCTCACAAAGCTGTCAGGAGCTACTGTCTCTCCCAATTACTTTTTGATCTTGCTGTTCACGTGTGTTTTGGCTGGCTGTATAAAGCTACCGTGAAGTTGCCGCCGGGTGCTCGTGTAATCTCATGGATCTGTCAGGGCTGAGATTTGAACCAGCAGCCTCGTCATAGATTGACTCAATTTTTTCCCGAGAGTGAGAGAGGACAAAAAGTAAGACGTCCCGGATATGATGCGGATGGAATGTTGTCAAAGTTTGAGATATCGCAACGTCTCTCTCTCTGGTTGAGTAAGTTGGGTGTGAGGTAAAGACGGCGTCTGTGGATAAGGTAAGTGAGAAGTTGGGAGGACAGGACGTTGGCAGATGGGCGAATCAGCGGTCTATTTTGAAGTGGGGCAGTGGTCCTTTCAAATTGAGGTATATAAGGCTGCACTTCTAGTTGTCACTCGATGTCTTACAGTTGGCTTCACCTCAGTGGTTGCATGTCACATTCGCATCAAGATCACCCAGAAGTGTCCATCCAGATTTGGAACTTTAGGGCATAAGTTTGCTTCACCATGTTTTGTTATTTTGTTTAGTTGTCTAGGACTGTGTCTGCCACTGCGTCTTCAGTGCGGAGGCTATGTCTCTGTCGTCGCCCATGGGTATGCCGTTTTGTGCTCCATCCCGCTTTTTCCCTTTCCAATCTCGTCCTTTCGGCGGAAACTTTTCCAACCCTAGTGCTGATGTTACTCACATCAAAGCTTAGCCAATACCCATGGCGCTGTTCCTAGATGACCAACGGCCACTGCGCGACATACAAATCTAGCGCCAGTCCCGACGACTTGCTGGTTCGTTGGGTTCATTTCCGTAAAACCACCACTCCATCCACGTATCGAAGAACAGATAACCTGCCTTCCCATAAACTGAACGTCTCCAACCCCGATCCCAAACACTCTAGTGGATGCCGATACAAGTTGGCATGGAGAGAAAAATAAAAAATAAACGTCTAACAATGTCATGAACAGTAAAAGCGTGGAAACAGCAGTGGCCCACGACATTGTGCACGCAGGCCAATGAGGTGAGCCATTGTGCCGAATGAACAAGAAATGCCAAACATAGTAAAAGTAAAAGAGACTCCATACCAGCGTCCTGAAGGCTTTGCCTCCCATTTTTGACCAGTAAGCACGAATGCAGAACACCTCTCCATGTTAAGTCTCCCTTTTTTTTCGTTCTCGCGAGTAAGAAATCGTATGCCTGCGCAAAGCCAGCCAGTAAAGTAAAATGTGATCCGTATGTACCCTTTACTTGATGCACTTCGTCTTTTTTTGGGGAGGTAGCGCCGACTAGGCGGGCGCCAGTAACCGTAAGGTCTTCTCAAATTGAAAGCTGAAAATTCCGTCCTTCACAGACGGAGTACAGACCCAGGGAGAGAGCCGGGTTGTTGCCGGACACAGGTTGAATTACAGGAAAAAAGATGGTCTCCTTGGCGTGCCACAAAGGAAATAGATGTCGCGGGCGGTGTGTCGTCGAGATAATTCGGGAATCGGAATTCCGTGACATTGCGGCGCCGGGTCCTGTTCGGATCGTGGTCACGGGAACCACTAGGGCGCCCTTGCCATGGCAGGATAAATCGAAAGAATGCCGAAACCCAACAAGCTACCACCACCTTCTCACCAAAAAACACAGCCAAAGGATCTATTGAAAAGAAAACTCCATGGGGATCGCGAAGGGCGACCGTGAAACGCCAGTAATGAATTTATCCGTATACCAAGGGGAAAAGAATTAAAGAAATATGTCATTAGGGGTCGCAGCCGCGCGTCGTATCCATCCACCTCCAAACGCATTTTGGCTGCGAGACAGTCTAGTAGCCAAATCAATCGCGTATGGTAGCGATGGTATCGAGGGGGGCAAACGTGCCCGTGTCGTAAAGTCGAATGCCGACGTGGGGACCATTCGGTCAAATAACCGCTTCTTTCGGTTCTCGTCGTGAGAGGGTATCTGAAGAATGCAAATGTATCGTTCATGCCAGAAAAAAAACAAAGTCCGCGTCTCCGGTGACGCTAGACCTCCCAAACTTTTCCGATAGCAAAAATCCCTTCCAGTTTCGTAAGGCGATTGAGTGAGTCTGCCAGGTATCGCCACAAGTTTAGCCCATTACGGGCTGGCCAAAGGTAGGGTGAGCAAAGTACGAAGATGCCTTGGCAGGACCAACGCAGTTCGCACAGCTACACTCCGCAACACCATGCTCCCACATGGTTTGCTGGTAACCATAGTGCCCAGGAAAGTTTTGTTGGTTGTGGCGGTGACCGTAGTAGTTGTGCGATGGCTGCTGGTAACGAGTGTTCCACTGACCCGTGGTAGCGGCCTGGGAGAACCAATCGTTGTAGCGAGCGTTGGCAGACGTGGCTGAATTAATGTACTCGGGCGTGCCGTAGCCAGAATCGGGAGGAGTGAGCGGGGCGTTCTGCCAGTTCCAGTTGCCGCCATAGGCTTGCTGATGAGCCAGCTCGTTGCGCTTGATAGCCTCGTAGCGCTCGTATTCAGCCGCTTGCTGCTGAACAAACGTATGATAGGAAGATCGTCCACCGTATCTGTTGTTGATATTGGTGTCGATGGCGGGGACGAGTCTCTCGCGGGTAACTCTTGCCGCAGCCTGATCCTTGAGGACCTTCCAGTCATCCCAGCTGGTGAGCCAGGCCTTGTAGTCCGCGCTGTAATCCAGGTTGACGTAAAGACGCCAGCCGGATTGCTCGAGCCACTCATGTTCCAGAGCGTTGAGCTCGGCGACGGGGATGCCGCTCACCTCAGACCAAGAACGGTTCTGAAAAGTGTTGTCGTCCAAGAACTTGCTGCCAAGCAGCAGGGACACGGTCAACATGCGCCAAACCTGTCCCTCAGGTACAGTGTACGACGGGTTGTTCTGCTTCAGGGTGTTGACCCGCTTCGCCAGGTAGTTCATGCCGAGGAGAATGGTGCTCTTGGGCAATCTCGTCGATGAGAGAATCTGCGAGACGAACTTGCGGAACGGGGGCGTGACGGCCGTGGTCGACAGCGGCATAACAACGCGGGTGGCCATCTCGGCAACGAACTCGGCCATTTGGTCGACCTCGTAGTCGAGGACGGCACAGACACCTCCAGGCATGATGGCGGTATTGAGAAGAGTCCGACGAAGATCGAAGTGAGATCTTTGTCGGGTAAGGAGACTGCTCGATGCACTTGGGAGAGACACTTTGCAGTTGAAGGGAGGCTGCGTCGTGCTAGCGGTGAATGACCAAGGCCGATGGTGTCGGTGTGTCGGTTGGGTGAGAGGGTTGATGACACGAGCCCTTAGTAGCTGCGAATAGCCATCAAGGGTTGAGATCGCGGCGGGAGAAGGAAAACAAGACGTCTAGAGATCGAGTTGATGAAGAAGTGCAGTCGCTTCGCTAGTCGTTGATGACGGCTGAAAGACCCAGCAGAAGATATGTATCTTGGGCGGGGGAAGAGATGCTGTGATGGCTGACTCGGGAAAAGGATGCTTGAACGGAGAAAGGTCGTCGAGGGCGTCAGAGAGGTTCTAAGGGCCGCTGGAGACGGGACGGAGAAAGTTGTGCAAAGGAAATGGAAAGCCGCAGCTCTGTCCTGTTTGGTGAGAGGTCAGCGAGAATGTCCAGGAAATCGAAAAACTTTGACTGTCTGTGCCTGAGTCTGATACACAAGCTTCGTCGAATGATGCGTCAAGTAGTGGCGGGCCGGTATTAAGTGAAAGAAATGCTAGGAGGCGACGTGGGCGACAGCGACAGATAAGGGGGTACCCTGTTGCCAACCAATGCAGTGGCCATTGTGTAGCTCCAGCACACCCAGTATGGAGGAAACATTTGCTGCTGCTTGAATATGGCCGTTTGGGAGTGTCGTACTCTCAAGCAAGGGCAGGTCGTGGACTCAAGACCGATCCGATCGCAGCACATTGGCGGAACGCTTCGAGACGATACCTAAGTATGCCCTCTTTCGATGCCGCTCGTGGGAATTTGATCGCATCTCGAGGTCGGATATTTGGGCGAAGCTCGTGTACCATACTTTCCGGGAATGGCTCTGGTTGGACTGGGAGTATCGCAGGGTCGAGAATAGCTTACCTTGAGGAAGGGAACCGTAAACAGGTGTATAAGGCCGAGAAGGACGGTTTAATTTGGAAGTGTTCCAAGTGATGAGCAGCAGACACGATCAAGTCGGCTCGATTTGTTGTGTTCTTGCTCGGTGTCGTGCACTAAGAACTGTACTCGGCCTGGATGGAGAGCAGGCGGACGGGTGTAGAGAGGTGGGCGACAATCGAATTCGACAATATCGTGCAGAAGCAGAGGAGAGATGAGAACCTGAATCCTGGGTTGTCGACGACTTTGGATGGGAATATCGTGCAGAGTCGAGGACAAGGGAGATTCGTCGTAATACGGCGGATTCGTAGGTTTGGAAAGAGAAGAAGGTTTTTGGGGAGAGGGGAGAGGGAGGAATAAAGTCGGGCAAGAGGAATCTCGAGGAGTGAGAATGGATGGGACGGGTTGGGATGGATGGGATGGAGATGGGGAGAGAAAATGGGGACGGGGGTGAGGATGTAAAGTGGAGAGAGGAATGATGGCGGCGTGCGTGTGAATGGAGGCGAGAGAGGGCGAGGTTGAGTGAGGGAAGGGTGGAAGGGTGGAAGGGGTGGGAAGGGTAGGTAGCAGCCCAGTAGGTACAGTAGGTCGGGTGGTAGGTACCTCAGGACCCAGGACTCAGGTAGCCCAGGCGAGCCCGGTACCTGAACGAGGTACCTTGCTCTCTGCGTGAGGCCGGTAATCGAGCGGCAAAAAGCCGGTGACGGGTACTTTGGGGCACTAGACTGGAGGACCAAGAGAACGGGGTGACAGTGACGGAGTGGACAGCCCGGCAGCAAAGTGGACACCCATCGGTTCCATACTCTGTGCGGTGCACCTCAGTCAGGGTACCTAGAGCAAAGTA